TACTAATCTTTTTCTCATTGATTTATATGCAATCTTTATATCTTTAACGTCTGTTGACATAGTTGCACCTTTTAAGTTTTCTAAAATTTTAAATTACATTTATGATTTTAAATACAGAAGCTGATTATAATTTTTATTTACAATATGGGGTTCAGACTCAGGGCTTTATACATGCTAGGCAAGGTTCTGCTACTAAGCTACATCCTCAGGTACAGAAAATAATCTTTACATTGCATAGTATGATAGCTTTATTATTTTATGCATATTTGTCTATTTTTATGTTTATACATATTTAAATTTTTTCTTTTTCCTTGAATGATTTCATAGATTTCTTAGACTACATGGGCCAGAAAAGCTGTGTAGTATATTAAAGACGATGACTAGCTACTAGTTGCCAAAACATGGAATCCTCTCAGAGGAATGAGTAACGAAATCATGCAGAAACATTCCATAACATTTCTAAGAAATTAGTATGTATTAAGAGAATACATAAATCATCTGGAAAAATCAAAGGTTGTTCAATAAATGTTGCTTAGGAATGTTGGTTAACAACAGCTAATCAGCAACAGTTGGTTACTAATTTGAAGACTAAAACTAGGTACAGTGGACCCTGGACTTAGGAACTCAAGTCATTTGTGAAGGCTGGTTGTAACTCAGGTTGGTCAGTTGAAGACTCAGGTTCCTCTAAACAGCCTTCAAAGTCTCTTTTCTTGTACATAAGCAGATCTCAGTGTCCTTAGACAGTGACCCAAAATTCTCAGTTAACCCCACACAGGAAAGGATGTTGCATTGTTCTTTCCAGAACTCTTTAAGACTTAAATCTGTATCTGAGACTATCAGGAAGCACAAACAACTGGCATTTGGGTCATAAACTCAAGACACTGTTCATAAGTTAAAACTAAAATTCCAGTTGTAACCCAGGTTGGTTGTTTGTCAAGCCAGTCATAACTCAAGGGTCCCTTGTATGTATTATAGCTGCACACCAGAATTAGTTCTAGAATGACTAATGGAACAGATACTCATTTTTTTGTTTTTTTGGTTTTTTTTTTTTGGTACTGGGGATTGAACTCAGGACCCTGTGCTTATGAGGCAGGTGGTGGCACCACTGAGCTAAATCTCCAGCCCTCGTTTTTTTCTTTATAATAGAAATATTTATCTTTTTTAAAAACTTTAAACAAAATTCACGTTTTATGTAGATTGAATAAGCTATACAAAATTGTCTTCACTAAAAATAACAGCAATATTTTCTGTGTTATTTCTAGATAAACCACAAAACATTCATTTTGTAGGTTTTCAGGTTTTTCTTATAAATCAAGACAAGGCAGTAGATAAGAGTCATGGAAAAAAGCAAGAAAAGGTTTACATCAGGCTTAATGCAAGGCTGGGAAAGTTTTCACAATAGCCACAGATCATTGGGGTCTACTTTCGGACGCATTAACCCATTTATGCTGAGAATTGCAAGTTTTTGAATGTTTGCCTGAAATCCATGTATGTTACCTAGAAAAATTCAAGGAACAAGAATTTGAAGAGAAAATTTTTTATCATATTCCATTGTTATGGGTGTTCTAAAAATGAAACAGTAGTCATAAAAGGATTAAATGGCATAATTTACGATACTGTGATATATATTTGGTAGACTTTGATACTTATAAAATATGGTGAAGTAAAACAGGGCTGTAGCTGGCCAAAGAGTCATTTAAATTTTGATGTTTGTCCTTGGGATAGTCTAGTTACTTCTTTAGAGGTTATGTAGATCTTTTTAGATTAGAGTTCTGTATACTTTTTCTTCCAGTACCTCTATAGGGAGATAAATACTTCTCATTTAAAGCAGCTGCTTTGCTGGTGTGTCTTAAATTCCCTAGTTACCTTGCATAGATATTTATCTTTAAGTTTATCTGTCATTCCTTCACCCCTCCCTCTTTGCCGTCCATCTGTATGTCCTTCCATCCATCCACCTACCCATCTCTCTGTCTGTCTTAGTCTGCCTGTCTGTTGACTATGTTTTTGTAGAATAAGATTATTGTTCAGAGATCTTCTTTTACTTTTTTTGTTTGTTTGTTTGTTTGTTTTTATTTTTTGGGACAGGGTCTTACTGTGTAGTTGAGACTGACCTGGCACTCACTGTGTAGCCCAGGCTGGTCTCGAATTCACAAGTATCCTCCTGTCTCAGCCTCCCAAGTGCTGGAATTATAGATGTGTGCCACCACACCCAGCCATTTATTTGATATTCTTGTTGAATATGCATCTCTCTTGGAGGGCCTCATGCATGCTAGACCACTCTACCACTAAGCTACGTTCTCAGCCTGCATGTTTCTATTTATTACCCCTAAATATAGGTAGCTGGTATGAGATTGCTGTATTTTATTTATTTGACATCACAGAAAATCATTTCATTTCTGTATTCTTGAATACACACACACACACACACACAGAAAATCCAGAAAGCACATATAATGAAAGCAAGTCTTTGTCTCACCTAAACTTTGCTGCTTATTACTCTTTCTCAGGTGTAACCCCTGCTCTTGTTTTCTTGTGCTTCCTTCCAAGAGTATTTAAGGCATCTTTGATCATCTGTATTCTTTTAACCACTCTCCCACCATAAATGGTAGCATGCTGTGCTGGCAGTTCCTTTCAGTACTGTTTTTTCTTAATCATCTATCTGGGATTAATAACAAATACTTAGCCAGCTATCTGTCTTTTCATTCATTCTTGGCTTTTTTTTTTCTTTTTCATTTTTTGAGACAGGGGCTCACTATGCAGTTTAGGCTGGCCTTGAACTCACTATGTGTCCCATGTTGGCCTCGAATTTGAGGCACTCCTTCTGTCTCACCCTCCTGAGTGTTGGAATCACAGGCATGTACCATCACACCTGGCTTCATCCTTAGCTTTTTGTATGCGTCAGACACTGTTCTAAGAACTTGACAGTGACATTTAATATGAGTGCTAATACGAGTGCTTGCAACAACCCATAAAGTAGATAAAAATATTACCCTATGTACGTTATATAGTTGAAGAAAGTTAGGTACACAGAAACTGAGTTAAGGAGCCAAAATGCAGTCCAAGGCATTCTGGTCTCTTTATGCTTATAACTGTAAGCGTCCTCTGTATCCCTGTACTTTAAATTGACCACAAGAAATTGCAGTGTTTGTGGATCAGAAATGGTTGAATATTAAAAGTTTCATGTGACTCAAGAAAGTTTCTTCGTTTTTTTAAACAGCTGTACAGAATTCCAAACTCGTGATTTTTAAATTAATCTCTATTGGTTAATATTTAGATAGCTTTTATTTCTGTAAACAACAGTGCAGTTAAGTATCTTTCCACTTAAGTGTTATTTACTTGTGTAAGAAGTGAAACTTCCGTGTCAGAGGGCATGGGGGTTTTAATATACTGTGAGAAATTGCCTTTCAAAGAGATTATACTGGTTTGCACTTAGTAGCAATGTGTTAGAGTATATGACAATATGTAAGTTTCAGCTGGGCATGGTGGTACATACCTGTAATACTAGTACTGAGGCAGGAGGATCACCAGGAGTTTGAGGCCAGCCCAAACTACATAGAGAGATCCTGTCTGTCAACAAAACAAAAAAACAGAAAAAAAAAAGAAATAAAACATAGTGGACCCTTAACTTACAAATTTGGTCTGTGCTTAAGGGCTAGTTGTAACTCAAGTTGGTTGTAAGTCAATACAGGTGAAATCTGGATATTTACCTGGGTACACACTGTAGATACCAAAAGGGGCAGATGAATCTTCCATTAACCTAATTAGCCCAGTTGTTCTTATGTCAATAACTTGTAGGGTTGTAACTTGAGGGTCCACTGTATATGAGTTTCTCCACACTTCAGAGTGTGTGTTGGATTTTACATGCAGTAGCTAGGTGTTCAACTGCATGAGCTCCTAGCATACTAAATACAGTTAGTGCTGACTTTTGTTTTTTCAGTATTACAGTACTTCATCTAGACTTGAACATTTTATAGTATTAATTATAATAATGCCTAGAATCCTTCAGTATTGCACTACTCTCTACCAAAAGGTAAGTGAACCTGTATGCTTCAACTAGTTTTCTTTTTATTAAGTCTTATCAAAGTATATTTATAATAGGGTTTTTTATAATTAGGTGGTTTTTGTAATTTTCAGTTACATCTTAAGCTTTCAGTTTTGAATTTACTTGGTGGAGTGATCATGCACTTGCCTGTTAGGTTCTAAAAGTAGAGGGATTTAAATAAGGATCTGTTGGACTATTTTCTTAGCGTAAAACTGTCTTGCAAAATTCTCTATCAGATGCCCAGGATTTTTATTTTTTTATTGATAATTGAGACTTGTATAATTCTTGCTTTATTTTTTCTCAAGCACAATTTATTCCACTTATTAGAAGTGTCATTACGCATGTTTTTAATATCCTGGCCTCCCTTCTTTGTGTGTGGATGTGCACTCAACTACTGTTTCATTGTGCCAAGTTTAGGTTACTGACTGAATGGTTGAGATTTTTTAAAAAAACAAAGCTTCTCCCTTCCCATTCATGTATTCTTCAGGTGGTTGATGTTATGTAGATCTTTATGTGGCCATGCCTTTCCCCTTTCACTCCTAGATGGTAATTAACATTGTTGAAAAATGTGAATCAGAATTGTTTTATTTTTTATTGAGCTACTCTTAGATGGTTTTATGATTCCCTCTTTTTTTTGTCCTTACAGAGTTTGCTCTGTTGGCCTGTCTGTGTACATACAGCATTTAGTAATATTTCCCGGTGAACCCAGCATTGTGTAACACACTGCTTATCAGTTTTGTTGATCTGAAATGTTAATTAAAACTGTCAGGCAAAACTAGGGTTTAGATCATCTTCCTACACTGTGTAGTTATAGTTTCCCATTGCCACCAGGGTAGTGATTAGTTGCCATTTTATAGATTCAGTGGGAGGTGGGGAGAAGCAACATGTAGTTTTATCTGTTTTATCCATTTTTTCTTTGTTTTCTTTCTGTTTCTTTCCTGTTTTTATTTTTTGGCAGAGAAACTTTTCCATGTCTGTAAATAGTGCTGCTGTCCTGCGATTGACAGGACGAGGAGGAGGAGGAACAGTGGTGGGGGCTCCTAGAGGTCGAAGTTCTTCAAGAGGGCGAGGTGAGCTTCCATGTGAAATAAAGTAATGACAGAAGAGGCGGTGGAGGAGAGGGAAATCACTTGTTAAATATTTCAATGCCTGAGTTTTTAAAGAAATTGCTCTTTGATAAATTATGTACTAAATGTCCTGTATTTATTTTCTGAATCATTTCTCAAGGTACCCGTTGCTCAGTTCCTGCTTTGGAGCAGAAGAGTCCATTTCTAACTATATCGTTTTCAGCATAAGGGAGTCTAGACATTTCTGGTTAAGTTCTGCAAGTTCTTGCTATGCTCATGCTTCATCTACAGGAAGCTTTGTGCTGTGGGGGCCCAGGTGTCCTGATAGGTCTTGGCTGCTGGAGTAGCACTGATGTCCCCATGGGCCTCCATGACTAGAGTTTCTACACAAGGTCCTTATCGGTATGGAGTGCCAGGAGTGACCCCAACCATAGAGTGACTTTTGCAAAAACTGCTTTAGAAATCCTAGGACCTTTGGGTAATTTTAACAAAATACAGTTAGGTAGCATTCGTGTGTGTGTGTGTGAGTGAGAGAGAGAGAGAGAGAGAGAGAGAGAGAGCGTGAATATAGTTTTATAGATTTATGTTTTAGAAAAGTGAGTCTTTGCTCTTACTTGGTGCTTTGATATGTACTCCCTATTTGGGATTCGTTGATTTTTCTCTGCTATAGGACATTCTTGATGTTTATCTTAACCCTGTTGGTTAAATCACAGCAGTAGTCTAAACATAGCATGTAATTTTCTCCAAGATGCTTTAGAAGTGAAGAACTGGGTGTCGGCAGTGACAGAGGCTGTTGTCTTCACATCTCATGCCACCAGATTGGCATGTTAAGAGTGTTGGGTACCTGAATTTCTTTTTCACTGTTATGATTGTGCCTTATGATACAGTCTTTTTAGAAAATATATTCAATTAGGTTTCTGATAATAGTGAGAATCCAGCTGTGAGTAATGAGAGGGGACTAACTAAAACTTACTTTTCTAGGTACTGTTACTCAGCATAGTTGTGTTTTTTCTTTAGCATTTATTTCTCCATCTGTAGAACAGTGGTTTTAATCTGAGGAGTTGGTAGACTCATCTGTAAAACTTATTGGAAGTACCATTACCACAGAATTGACCTGTCCATGCTTCAAAAACCACACAGGCAGCTCAGATTTCCACCCCATGTTGGATTCTGGTGGTGCAAAATTTAACCAGGGTCTGTGCATCTTGGTGGTGAGATGGTGCTTTTTAGATTGAACTGACCACTTCTGGCTCTGGCCTCTACATGGTTGTTTCCTGTGTTTCCTTCTGTGGTATGGCAGACAGGAGAGTTGCACTCACATAAGTACCTACAGTGCCTTTTCAGGACAAGTCAGAGAGGATGCTGCTTAGGCAACATGTGTGGACCATGTTGACTGTGCTGCAGTTACCAGCCAGTCTCTGCAGGCACTCGAAATCCTTACATGTGGAGAAACAAGTGAGCGAGTGATGAGTGCTCCTGCTTTCATGGAAATGAGGTTACCACAGAGGATTAGATTTAGAGCTTCAATAGTGCATGGATAAAAGACAGTGACGTGAGAAGTAGTGACTTAATTAGGATGCCAGTGTGAATAAAGGGCACAAAGTTAGTCAAATGAATTTACTTGATTTGTGAAAAATACTTCTAACACCATTTTCACAACTACCTATGATTTCTTTTAATGGTCTCAATAGCTTATTTTATTAAACAAGGTTACAATTATAATCTGGCTTTATATTTTTCGTTTATTAATTTTAACTTGGGTAAATGATTTTTGCATCTTTTTGAATGGGACATATCTACCATTAGGTTATTACTCTGTTGCCAATTTGAGGAAACTTTTTTTTTTTCCTTTTTTTTGTGGTATTAGGTATTGAACCCAGAAAGCTTTGAGCTATATCCTTACTTTAAAATTTTTTTTTTTTTAATTTTCTGACAGGGTCATGCTAAGTTGCTCAGTCTAGCCTTGAAGTTGCATTCTTCCTGCCTCAGCCTCCCAAGTGACTGGGATTATAGGCTTGTGTCATCTTGCCTCGCTTCAACTTGAGAAAACTTTGATGTGAAAATTGATCAACTTCAAAGCTTCTAAATACCAAGAACTAGTAAAAATTAAACAGAGTATCGAGGAAATAACATAAGCATTGCTATCTTTCTATTTTATGTGTTTCTGTTTAATAATAATTTTAGCAAGTGAAGATAAACACAAGGAATATAATCTTTTAAAAGCCTAGGGTTTGAAATAACTTGTGGTTGAGAGTGTTGAAGAATTTAGAAGTTGTTAAAGGCATTTTTTAGCAGCAGTGGAAGAAACAAGGCCAATCCACACAACTATCAACCACTGTTTTCAGCATTAATAAAAGGGTGTTTCTCTCCCTTTCTCTTCTCTCTCCTCTCCTCTCCTCTCCTCTCTCTCCTCTCCTCTGGGGACTTTATGCTTGTTAGGCAGGCGGCGGAACCACTGAGCTAAATCCCCGGCTCTAAAAGGATTTTTTTGGTGCCTGGGATTGAACTTGGGTCCTTACACTTGCAAGGCAGGTTGGTGACACCACTGAGCTAAATCCCGGATGTCAAAAGGAAGTATATTTTAATCCCTATAAGAGTAGGGTAAAATCTCATAGACAGTAGGACAGTCCTATACATTTCGCTTTATGAATACTTCTTGTTGCTTTTACAGGAACCACATTTATAGGTGATTTAAGTTTGACAAATGGGAAAGCTGTAGAATCTGAGGCATTTTATGTGCCCCATTAAAAAGTATTGAAACTCATAAACAGGACCATTGTCAGGACTGACTAGTCACAACTGGAAGAAAATATTTTGTAGTATTTTCCTGGTAACCTGAAGGCTGCTTTTTTCTATTCATATGTTTCTAGAATAAGATTTTTTTAAAGGTAATATGTAAGTGCAGTGGCTTTCCTGAAAAAAGTACTCTTTAAAGGAGGAGGAAACTTTCTTCCCCATCTTAAAATCATGGCTGTACAGGAATACCTTCCTGTTAATGTTACAGTTTTGGTTACATTATTTTGGGTTAGTAAATGAAAACTGCACGTTTCCTCAAATGAGAAGCACTTAAACTGTGAGTTAACTTTCTTTTGACTCACACTGAAATTGATACAATTGAAAAGAAACCTGAAGATTATTAAGTTCAGCTGTAGTCTTCCTTTCCAGGTTACACATGAAAAAATAGTTGAAAATATGTCCATTGTTCTTAAGATTACTCACATATAATTATGTATATTAACTTAGTATTTCTCAATGTGATCATGTGAGAGTCAAAACTGTATTGAGTCATTTCATGATATGTTATAACAGAAATAAGAATACTGCATGGATATTTGGAGTAATTAATTCAGTTCTATTTGGCTTTGGAGTATACTCATGTTTTTGTTCGAGTTATCATTTTGGAGCTGGGGATGTGGCTTAGCAGAAGAGGATTTGCTTAATTGTGAGAGGCCCTGAGTTCGATCCCCAGCACTGCAAAAAATGAAAATAAAACAGATAAATCTCTTTTCTTTGGATCATTTTGCATTGTGGGAGAAATTGAGCTAGGGATGATAGCTAAGAATACATCCCCAGACTCTACTCCTCTAGTTTTCTTACCTGCGTATTAAATAAAAATGGTGTGTGTTTGTTGGGAAAATACATAAAATAGAAAACTGAAAGTACATATTACCATTTCCCTCTAATACAGCAGTTGGATATGTGTATCCTTCCTGACCCCATCTGTGCAGCAATGGCATTTATATAAGTGGAATAATTTTTATATGCATTGTTGCATAGTATGCATTTGTCATTCAGTAGCGTAATAGAGTTCTGTTAATCCCAGTGCTTCTTTTTATCTTTGGCTTCATAATGTATTATTTTTTATCAGAATTTATCTAGCCATTACTATTGATTATCTTATTTCTAGTTTTAAGACATTGCAGTGAAAACATATACATACAGTCATGCTCTGCTTAACTATAAGATAACATTCTGAGAAATGTGTCATTGAGTGATTTTGATGTCATTGTGTGAACATCACAGTGTAGTCAAACCTAGATGGTATAGGTCACAATTTGGTCTTGTGGTACAGTGAAGAGACAGTAGACTTAAGATTTTTAAAGTTGCTCTTGGTGTAATATGGCATCCTGTTTCACAGTGAACTATTTTTTTAATAAGTGGAAGAAGTACATTAAATGATAAATAGTATAGAAATGCATATACCTGTGTACAATGCTCCATTATAAGTGCTACATGTTTATACATCTGGCAGTGTCCTGATTAAGTTTGTTTACACCAGCATTATCACAAGCATCTGAGTGCACTCCTGCTCTGGGAGATGATGGTTTGGTGTCTCTGAGTGACAGGAAGTTTCAGCCCCGTTATAATCTGATGTGACAAACCTCGGATGAGCAGCCAGTTATTGACCAGAACATTATGTGGTGTGACTATATTTGCATATTTGTACAAGTATTTCTGTTGGCATTAATTCTAAGTGGGATTATTGAATCAGATATTGATATATTTAACCGAATTGCTTTCAATAAAGGCCAGTTTACATTTGGACCACATATGCCTCTGCATCCTTATATCTATATACTTTTACCAGCTCTGTGTTTCAGTCTTGATAATTTTTTTACCTCAAGATTTGAATAAAGAGTAAAGGTAGCCTTTTGTTCTCTATGTAGGTAGTTCATGAAATTGGTAGTTTTAGAATTGGCCTGTTAAGTTACCCTTTTTCTGGGTTAGATAATTTCAACATTTGTGTGTGACTTTTATATTTTTTATTTTTTTGGTACTGGGGATTGAACTCGGGTTCTTGCAGTTTCAAGGTAGGCGGTGGAACCACTGACCTAAAATCCCTGGCCCTGTGACTTTTTAAATTGTCGCTTCTCTCCAAATTAATATTTCTCCCATTTCTATTGAAAATCTAATGAAAAGCCCTCCCCGCCAAGAAAGATTTAATTTTCAGCATTTCACTTCTGAAGTTTTTAAGAAGCCCCTATCCTTTTTTGGCAGTACCCGGGGTTGGACCCAGGCCCTTTTGCATGCTATGCAAGTGTTCCACCACTGAGCTATGTCCCCAGCCCTTTTTTGTTTTTAGATAAGATCTTGCCCAATCTAGACCCAAACTTGGAATCTTCCTGCCTCTGCCTCCAAAGTAGGTAGAGTTACAGATGTGCTGCATGGCACCTGGCTTAAAGAGCTTAATGTTTTGTTCACTATCGAGGCCCCTTCATTAGGTTTAACTTTTTCCTTTGGTCCAGCTGTCTCATTGTCATTGTTCTCACAGGTAAAGAGTCCATCAGGCTTTGTTAAATATTTAAACACAGATATTTTGCTGTGTATAAAGACAGAACTTCAGATATCAATCTTTCGTGTTCATAATGTACTGGATGTTGACTTCTGACAAGCATTTTTTCTGTCTTCTTATTTTCAGGCAGAGGTAGAGGTGAATGTGGTTTTTACCAAAGAAGTTTCGATGAAGTAGAGGGTGTGTTTGGTCGAGGAGGTGGCAGGGAGATGCATAGATCACAGAGCTGGGAGGAAAGGTAATTAAAAGGATCCAGATCTTGGTGTAAGATTTCTTGATATATAAAGCTTATTTATTTTATGCTTTCTGCAGCAGAGAAGCCTCTGTATATAGTTATAGGGTTTCATTTTTTAAAAAATGCTGTTAATATTGAATGTCAACTTGAATGTTAGAAACTTTTAGTCCTCCTTTAAAGGAAGCAATATTCTGGATACACAGATGCATTCTATTAGTGCTCGCATGGATAGTTAATTTGGTTTGCTATTTGATTAGCTTCCAGTGGGAGCATTGCCGTTTTGCCTGTGGGTATTAGTAAAAGGATCTTCTCTCTGTGTTGCTTGTGATGTTATATGAAGAGTGTTACAATGAACGAGGGCATTTGTACATGGATAGATGGATGTACCACAGTATTACTGTGATTATTTTTTTTCAAGTGGGTTGCCTCTAGTTTTTATTTTTTAAGTTTTATTTACTTATTTTTTGTTGTTATTGGGGATCGAACTGAGGACCTTGCGCTTATGAGGCAGGCTTGGCACCACTGAGCCACATCCCCAGCCCCTAGTGTGATGATTTTTTATAAAATACTTAGAAACAAACCAGAGAGGTTGATGCTACATTTATGTAGTAGCTTAACCACACAATAAAGAACTAAATGGCCAGTAATGTTAAGGATGATTTTAAAAATATTTTATGATGTGGGAAAGCATACTCTCAGAGCAGTGTGTAAAACTGTATCATGTATGTAAGTAAAATAATGCATATTATAAATCAGCAGAAACTAGTTTGGCAGTTGAAGTGGAACAATTTCGTTTTCATCTTTGTGCTTTTATTTTCTAAATATTATGCAGTAATCATGCAATAGGCATGTTTTATAACTTGAAAGTACAAAGAATTGCTGTTAAATACAGGAAAGTCAGTGTCCTGGATAGAAAATTTATGCATATACTCAAGCTTTGTTTGAAATTTATTTTATCTCTTTTTAGGGGTGACAGACGGTTTGAAAAACCAGGGCGAAAAGATGTAGGTAAGGTTCTTACATTGAAATATTTCCTGGACCTCCATGGTATTGGTTGCTTAACAAGGTTCACACACAGGACAGAGTGAAAATTGACTCAGTTACCTATGCCTGTCCAGTAGATGGGGTTGTAGCATTGCTCTCATTTGGAATTTTGTGGTTAAGGTCTCCATTGTATCATACCAGAGGCCAGAAATACAACTGTTAGGATTTACTTGACTTAACTACAAATGTTCTTACTTTAATAATTATTTTGCTGTTTTCTCTTTATATGTGCTGTAGTTTTTCTTGTTTTGAGATCAGAGTAGCCAAATAAATTAAAGTATCCACTAAAGAGGATAAAGGAGGGTCAGGGATGTAGCTCAGTGGCACCATGCCTACCTAGCAAGTGCAGTGTTCTGAGTTGGATCCCCAGTACCACATGGGGGGTAAAAAGAGGATAAACAAAAGAGGGTTTCAGTGTTTATGATGAGTTAATTATAATTTATATAAAATAATTTATAAGATGGGCTTTCTGACTGATTAGAGGTACTGCCTTATAAACTACTGGTAGATAATAATATCTCAGAGAAAAAAGAATTTATAGTGCCATTAAGTTATGAAAAAAACCACACAGTTTCCAGAGTCCTACAAGTAACACAAAAGTTCTCCAGAACTGTGATTTTTATCTGATATGGAAAATGTTTCTCATAAACATGTTAAGTGTATAAACATCATTCACAGACTGATTTGTAGATTGTCTTGAAAACTAAGTACAGTAGTAATAATAATTGTCCTTCACTGTTTCCATATCAAACTCATTTAACTTGTCAGTGATTTAACTTCCTTATTCATTAGCATGGCTTTATTTTTCATATATGAAAAGACATTAAATGAGTGCAGCATGAAGAAATTTCATTCAGACTGGGTAAGGTATTATCAGCTTTATCAGAATTGTAGACTATTGGATGAGTAGTATCTTGAGGGCCTCTGCTGTCATCCTTGTCTGATTTAATACTTATGTCAGGGAGTATAGACAGACAGTGAGAGTTTAAAGAGTACAGAATCTGGAAGCAGAAAGTCTTGGATATTCTGAACTCTCAGATATTCATTAGTGTCTTCATAAAATGAGTTGATAATTCCTTACAGAATTTTTAGGATTAACATATTTATGATGGGGCTGTGATCTGTATGTCTTGCTGCTGAGTGGCTTGATCCACCCTTGGTACATGCGTGACTGTCCTCTCAAATGGCTTTTTATCAATTTTATTAGTAAAAGGACTGATAAAAGTGATGAGATCCATTTGTACCACTATTGGTGCAAGGTGCCTGATGGGACAGTCATGCATACACCACCAGTGGTTTGAAGCAGCAGAAACATGTTAAATAAAAGTGTATGAACCCATCATTCATTTGACAAATACTGAATTTCTTATGTTTAAGGCCTTGTGCTAGGTACTAATTAATATTCCTTTCTTTGGTGTGTTGGTCTGATTTTGAAATCTTTCAGTGCTTTTTGTTTGTTTGTTTGTTTTTGAGACTGCATGTTTCTTTGTAGTTCAGACTGGCTTTGAACTCAGTATGTAGCCCAGGCTGGCCTCGAATTTGTGATCCTTCTGCCTCAGCTTCCCGAATGCTGGGGTACAGGCATCTATCGCCACACCTGGCTTCAAATCTGTCAGTTTTGAGAGGTATAGCTGTAGAGGACAGTTTGGACTTAGGATCAGAATTAAGACATGGAACAAGAGACCGGGTCTAATTAAATGGAAGTTTAACTGCAGAAAATGCGGTCATATAAAATCCTAAGCTACAGAATTTAAAATATGGAGTAGCTGTATCTAAAAGCAATCAAGGGGTCAGCTCTTTCAGCTGACTCTGTGCTTCATGTTGATCAGCAACATGCTGCTATCCTCACAGCTGAGGGCAGTATTTCTTAGATCTCAGTCATCCTCGATGAGTCAGATGATGGGGAGGACTATTATTATACTTTTATTTTGTCACAGGACAGCTTAAGCATTATGTTCATTTCTGAGGCCACATCTTGAAAGGGTCTGCACATTGGAATAGGCGGCCAGGGCATTTAGCCTTGGGATGGGAACTGCATAGAGGAAGTGGAGCGATTTGGATAAGAGTGAAGTCTGTAGGCAGGACAGGATGAAGAGAAGGGTTTCTAGGGTCACTGCCTGCAAATGCTCGCTTAATGATCTTGTGAAAGGGGAATGAGAGGTGACTTGTATGAGACTCAAGAGCAGACAGGCTGAATGCTGGCTCAAGGAGCCACATATTTAACACATTGTTGCAAAGTTTTGATAAGAGTTTGTCTGAAAATGACTTGGGTTGCCTTGGCAAAGTAGTTACCTGGATGAGAATAGCTTGATTTTTAATTCTTACACAGTTATATTTTGGTGGTGGGAATAGAATATAAACTTTTTTTTCCATCATTGTGGTTTTCATTTAAAACCAATTAATTTTCCTAGCCACTCTCTTCTACAAGTAAAGGTTCTTTTCTTTGCTCTTCCCCCATGTGTGTCTGTTTCTCCCCACCTCCCCCTTTCCCTCTTCCTCTGCCCCCGCCCCCAAAACAGGGTCTTGCTTTGTAGCTGAGGATGGCCCTAAACTTAACTGTGTAGTCCAGGCTGGCCTTGACGTTGGAGTGATCCTCCTGCCTCAGCTTCCTGAGTGCTGGGATTACAGGCTTGTGACACCCCTGCCTGGCTCTCCCTATGTATGTCTTTCAAAAGGTGAATTGCGTGAAACTAAATTGACATGAAGTGTAAGACTTAAGGAGGTTTGGGCCAGGGATTTAGCTCAGTGGTGCTGCAGCCTGCCTCTCAAGTACAGGTCCTGAGTTTGATCCCCGGTATCCCCCCAAAAAATTCTTAAGAGATTAAGGAGGTTAATAGGTTAACTATTTATAGTTAAGTACTAATACTTATTATACTAATAGGTACACTAAAATACAGCAACTGTCACACACACTCTAATATAGTGGCATTTATTGAATGCTTTTTATGAGATGTTCACTTCAGGTTAACTGTACTAAGAATTCAGATCTTTTTGGTAAATAATCTTATTGTTGAAAGTAATGTAGATTTAAAAATTGCTCACAATTAATCTTAATGCTCCAAGAATAGCAGCATAAGCCAGTTTGTTGGGATACACTGATATTTGATCAATTGTGAGATGTCCTATAACATCAAATTAAGGTAATTCAGTTACTAAAGATTCTGGAATGTCTTATTCCTTTAAATTGGAATCAGTTTATATCATGTATTTGCCTGTGTGTGTGTGTGTGTGTGTGTGCACATGCAGGCATATGTGACCCTGGGAATCAAGCTAGTGCTCTGCTACTGACCTGCATTCCCTTCCCCTGCGTTTGCTTTATATGGGTGGATTCACAGACTTCTGGGTACGAATCATCCTCCCTCACAGGGGGAGATCAGTTCTTGTGATCATTTTGTAATACCCTTCATGAGTTTGAAATTAAAGGATCATAAAAAGAATAAATGGTCCTCATGATATGATCCAAGTGTGATATTAATTAGTACATTTTAGTGTGAAATACTTTGAACTAATGTAGAAATTTTGGTTACACACTATTTCTGGCAATTAATAATACGATCTTTTATATACATAAATCTAGACCCTTATGACTTTTAGTAACTACTTCAGTTTGCTAGACCTGCCATGTTATTAGTGTCAGTTTCCAGGAGTGCTTTCCACTAGTTCCCACTGGTCTTTCTGAGGACATATCTGAGCTCCCTAGTGGCTCGGCTTAAGGGAGCTGAACAACCTCGGAAGGCAGAGCTGTAACTGCTCCCTTCTCCCCATTTGCTCTCCATTTCCCAGAAAGGGCAGGTGGTCTGTGCAGAAAACAGTCCTTAATATAGAAACTGATTCTTTGAAATAAGTGAAAGAATTATTAGCAGTGCACCCAGAGTTTTAAAATCACATTTCTTAGTTGTAAAATATTTATTAAATAACATTAGTTTATCAACAGTTTTTTTCCCCCCTGAGTTTTTAGGGGAAGTCACAGTTTTCAGATACTACTTCTATGTGTGAACAGTAAGTATGACATGAGACTCATCTGACTCCAACTGGGTATGTGGCAGCATCTACAGGGAGACTCACATCCCAGGGCTCACATACTCATCTTTGCTTAAATATTGAAGCTGTGATCTGTGTGATATAATGCTCTTAGGAAAAAACATACCAGGGGATTCTTTGATATTATTTTATTTTCTTGTTAATTTATTATAGAAATAAGAATTTTTGCTATCTTTATGTGTTTACAATGGTCTTGAATTGGAAAAAACCTGTTGGTCTGACTACTAGTTAAAGAATGAAAGTCTTAAGATTTTTAAACAGCAGAAGTTCACAATAATTAGATTTCTGTGTTCTTGATAGTCTCCTATTGTCACTTTTATTTAGACCACTGCAAAATTCTTCTTTTTTTTCTTTTCCTTTTGGTTAAAGAGTAGAAAAATGTGACTTGCTGATGTGCCTTGCTCTTCACAATTGCTTGCCTTTACTCAGCTAGTATTTATTTCAAGAGTTGATTCCTGCTTGGATCATCACCAGTGGGGAAGGTTAATCTATCCCTTTTCCCACATAAGCCTGAATAAGGGAAATTTCACAAAAGAAGAGCAGCTACAAATCTGAAATGCAATACATTGACTTTTTTGGTTCTTGTTTTGCTTGAGGATAATTTTATTTTTTAAATCAAAATTAAAATTATTCAAAGAAATGTCCTAAGTAAGCTGTGTATAAGAGAAAGTCTTCATCTTAGCGTGTATAAAATTAAAAACTGAGGCAGAGAAAGCATAATTTCAAGGAGTATTAGACTTGGAAAGAAATAATAGAGATCATCTAGTCCAACCTCCTACTGGTGAATAAACACTCATTTTGTGTTTATAGAAAAAACTATTTGATGTTGGAAACAGGAATTTCGGTTTGAAAATACTTTGTTGCCTAATTATTTTTTGCTTTATCTATGGGAAATTTTTCCTAGCTGATTTATATTTTAACCTTTATATGTATAAAACTTAAATATACATTTTCATTTATGAATTATTTAGACCTGTCATGGTTTTTTGTAATTGAGTGGGTCATAGGAAGGAAGAGAACATGCATGTGTTTTGATGTTATTGTTCAGATGCTTTTAGGGTTATATATAACTATTATGTTGTTTTTCTTTGGAATTTTTGTTGTTAGCTGTTAAAAAGGAAGGAGGCAATACTTACCCTAGCTTCGTAGTATAAAGAATCAAAAGAATAATCTTTGCTGTCTTGAAAAAATAACAATTATAAAAGAATGTTCACTCAATATTGTGAAATCGTCTTCTACCCTAGGAGATAGGCTTGGAACTAGACTGTTGTTGCAATTTGCAGATGGAATGAGAGATTTATGCTTGATTTTCTTAGAGGTTCCATGATGTTCAACTTGTGTCCATTTTACCTTCATTACTAGTATAACTACATCCTTAGAAACTGACCAGCAGCATTTCTGTATAAATATATCTGTCAGGTTGAGTCTTACTGATCTCTATAGATAACTACAGACACAAACTTTGTAAGGTAGAATGTTATGTTTTCAAAATGTGTATTATTAGTTCAGCCTTTTTTGTTTGTTTGTTTGTGGGCACGGACATGATTGTGTACTCAGAAGTAATCAGCATTGAGAAAAAAGAAAACATGATACAGCGAAGGAAAAGTAGCTGCATAACTGTCTGGGTATATTTACTACATTAAAAATAGCATGTCACTGATAAGTTTTACTCTGTCAGTCCTGTTTCCGAGATCTGAAAATTGTCAATGCTTTGTCCATTGATACGGATATCTAGGTCAGTCCTGTGAGGGCTCTTAGAGACCAGAGGAGTTGGAAGTTCAGGAACAGTCTTGTCAAAATTCTCCATCTTGACTTGATATTCACCTTTGGAACCTCGGGTCAACAGGGATGCAAAACAGTGATATAACATGATCTCTGATGGTAGGTAAGATGTCCTCCTTTGGCAGATTTCTCCAGTACCTTCCTGCATTGCTGAAAGGAACACAACTAATTCAAACTGGGGAGGATTTTCATGCTGGAGCAGAGTAGCCAGAGGACTCGATGGTGTAATAGAGTGGTAGTAGGTTAGTGGAAAAATAAAGAATGGACATTCCGCCGAACTGATGCCATCAAGGTGGAAGTCCACGCTGGTCTGGTGGAGTTCACCGCTTTCTCTTTCCTGATAGAGAACAGCTGAGACCCGGACACTGGTTAGAGGGCTTGGTCGGGTGTTGGCCACTTGAAAGATAAGATTAGGTTTGCCATCCATGTGAGCTACCACTGCTAAGTCAGTAAAACGAATTGAGAAAGCTCGATTCTTTGGCCTGGCAATCTTCGCCACAAAGGCACCTAAATTAGAAACCATTTTTTAAGAATGAAAACTTGAAATATCAATACCTTTTCTGAGAAGAGTATCAAATAGTAAAACATTTTTTGGTGCTCTGCTTTCCATTAGTCAAGGATTTACTCATTGTTTAATTTTGGGTAGTCTTATTGACCTGCAGAATTTTTAAGAGTGTACATATATTTCTGTTAAGAAACCATAATTTTAGTATGGATAAGCAAAATTGATACTGTTACATGGAAATGTAAAACTTTATCCTGTATCATACAAAGTAAAAATATTGGACACTTCCTATACTCATCTCTCTACATAACAGAAAAAAAGTAATAGAAAACAAATGCAGTTTGGTTACAACCAGGTAATTTCAAGATGAAGTAGAGACTGGACTTGAGTAGAATGATTTGGGGTAGGAGGAGTTATACCTTGAAGAAATTTTTAACTTTGAAAATTGCATAACTTTTATTTATTTATTATTTTTACATAAAACTTTTAATTTGGGGAACTCTTAGATGATTTCAGTACACATGTTAAGTATATCCTCCTGTGCCCTCATATATAGATGAGGCTTCTTAGATGAAGTTTTCTTAATCACTAGGTGCAGCAGAGCCTTTTGGGAGATGAAGCTTACTATAGTTATGTGGGTTTTTTTTTTTGGTACTGGGGATTGCACTTGGGTCCTTGCGCTTGCAAGGCACATGGTGGAACCACTGAGCTAAGTCCCCAGCCTAGACTTATATTTTAAATGGCTTAAGAGGGAAATGTAAATACAGAGAAGACCAAATATATTGAAGTTCAACTGAACATTTTAAAAAGTATAGTATTATATGTACTTTACTGATGCATTAAATAATATAATTTAGCTATAGGTTTAAATATGGTGATTCTGAAGTATTGTAGTTTATTGTGAAAATATCTCTGATTTTGATTTTTATCAAAGTTACTAGTAGTGCTGATGTTTGCACACACCTCTTCCTCCCTCCCTCCCTTCCTTCTCTTTTTATTTTCTTTTTTGGCTGTACTGGAAATTCAAACTAGGGACTTTGCACTGAGCTACATTCCAGTTCTTTTTTTATTTTGAGACAGGATCTCGCTAAGTTGCAGAGTTACCCAGGTGGGTGGGGCTTGAATATGCAGCCCTTTTGCTTCAGCCTCCCACAGAGTTCTGGGATTATAGGCATGTGCCACCATGCCCACCTTTTACCCCCATCATTTATAATAGAAAGACTTATGTCAAATTCACTTAGGGGTTAGTACAAAAAGTTGTATGATTTCCTCATCTAAATTCACAGGTCCCTTAAAGTTATCCAAGAAGTGACCCTGGATAGAACTTTTATAGAAGTTAAGAATTTGTTTTAGGTTGGAGAGCTGATTGTTAGCACACTGGGACTTCATTCTAGATGGCTGTTCATGTAATATGGTAGTTCTCAGGTTTTTATTGGCTAGTATATTTTTTTTTTTAATTGTATATGTCATATAAAAAAGGGCGTTAGCTCTACTTTATTAGAGGAAAGAGTCTTAGATGCTGCCAGATGCATGTTTTGATTTTGCTTTCCCCCGCCCCTCGGTCCTGGGGATCAAACTAAGGACCTTGTGCATGTGAGGCAGGTGTGGCACCACTGAGCTAAATCTCTGGCCCAATTTTGCTTTTTTGAGATAGTGTTTGCTAAGTCACTAAGATGCCTAGGCTGGGCTTCAATGTGCCATTCTCCTGCCTCAGTTTCCTAGAGTTCTGGGATAGGAGGTGTGCACCACTACAGTGAGCTAGCTACTAGTTGTATAAACAAAATTCCCTACTCTCTTATAGCCGTATCTCCAGTGTATTTTGCTAAGGATGTTCTCCAGCATATGATGTTGGCTGTGCTACTGTGGGCTCTCTGGTATTAGGTAAAATGATCTCGGGAAAAATTCTAGCACAGTGAAAAAGGGAAAAGAAACCAAATTCCTCTGTTAGGTAACACAACTGTCAAAATATGCATTGAACATGTTTATTCAATTATTTAACAAAATGGTTAGCTTCTGTGAAAGACTTTGAGAACTTTTGTCAATTTCTTTTTGGCATAGGATGTTCCTGCAAGTTCGTGTCATAATGGCTTTCTTGTCCCTTAATTAGATCCAATAGGTAAACTTCTAAGTATGTCACATTCCTTATACATTTCTATTGTTTGGCCCTACACAGTTTATTTTCTTTCTTGGGCATTACTTGCTAATAATACAAATAAGTTATTCTTTAACAGAATTGCTTATAACTGACAATACCCTTCTTAGAATGCTTGCAGTTATTTTTAAGAACCAAGACAAATTACCTGTGATAAAAGCCTCTAGCATGAGGCCCAGGAGCATTTGTATGGCAAGTAAGGCGATTGCACTTGGACAGTCACCACTGGGGAACATGGTGCCATAACCAATTGTGAGTTGTGTCTCCAGGGAGAAGGAAAATGCAGCTGTGAAACTGGTGATGTACTTGACACAGATAGTGTGGTTTTCAGGTGGAGCATCGTGATCTAATTCCAGATCACCATTCATCTCAGCTAGAACATACCAGAGCACTGCAAAGACAAGCCAGTGGAGAACAAAAGAAGCAGAAAAGACTAGCATCATCCAGCGCCAGCGCATGTCTATTAGAATTCCCCATGCATCTCGGAGATAAGCAAGACCTCTTTGAGTGCCATCCATTTGAAGGGTGCTGTGGCCATCTTTGGTGACCATCCTTTGGTATCTCTGACTTAGGAGAGGAGCAGTAACTTTGCAATTCCTGCTGTCCATCTCAGGCTGTGATTCCCTGAAATCAAGAATGAAGTAGTCAGCCCTTAGTTGTTTTACAGTTAATATTCATGAATTCTAAACCTCCTTTTTTGTTTTCTTGAGAATGTTTCTCTGACTACAACTTGAGCAGCTTTTCCATTTGTTTATGTAAAAGCACATTACTGATCAAGTCATATTCATTTGTTAGGTAATCGGGTGTTACCTCAGGATAATTATTGTTATTTCCTTTATACTTTAACATGGTTTAGAATTCTTGAAGGAGGGTGAGGTTTATAATTTGTTCCTCTGTAACGATCCTACATCATCTTTGTCCAAGTCTGGCATCAAGTATTTATTGATTTAATCAACTGTTAGGTATAAATAACAGTCCCCTTCCCACCTTTTTGAGACAGGGTCTCACTATGTAATTCAGTCTGTCCTTGAACTCACTATGTAGCCCAGGCTGTCCTCAAGCTCACAGTGATCTTCCTGCGTCAGCTGCAGGTGTGCACCACCATACTCAGCACAGCTTTTCATAATAAATTTATACTTGTGAATAATTCCTAGTGAAAAGGAATATTCTTCTGTTGTGAATAAATAGAAATTACTTGGAAATTTAGTATTAAAGTGTCCACAAATCTTTTGAAGCTAGAGTAAGTACTAGGATAAGACACATTTGTTCTAAGCTTGTAGAGATCTACAGTTCTAATGTATACTTTAAAATTATGAGTTTTGGGCTGGGGATTTAGCTCAGCAGTTCTGTGGCCTGCCTTGCAAGCACAAGGACCTGAGTTCAATCCCTAGTACCCCCCCAAAAATGATATAAAATTATGAGTTTTTATAATTAAATTTTGTTTTGTCATTTGATGGACATATTTATGGACTCTTTCTGCCCTGACTGATGGATTGCTATTTTTTTTTTAATATTCTAGCTTCTGATTACATTGTGGAATGGAGAGAGAATTATTTTCTTGGCAAAAGAAATTATAAGTCAACATGTCTAGAAAATACTCGCTTCCCATCTCCCATCCTAGGGAACAAACCCAGGGCTCTAGACGTGTGGAGTGAGGTGGTTTCCTGGATTTGCTGTAGAGCCTTCTTTCTGGTGACTTTGGGGCTTTGGAGACTGACTGACTTTTCTGTGTTACTGGGATTGGACATTGGTCATCTGTGTATATACAGCTTTATTCTTTGTCCTGAGGCTAATTTAATGTTTGTTCATGATACTAGAGGCCTTTGAGCTACAGATTGTTCACTTTATGGCAATGTTTTGTTCACTTCATTTTGATTAGTCATCTCAGCTTCATATTATAGACTTTGAAACATTTCAGAGTGTTAATGTTTTATAATTTATTACCCCAGCAAATTGTCATAATCATTTTAATTTGTTTTATCTTAGCATGGCCCTTCCTTCCCTTTTTGCCTCCTGTCTTTCTGTCTTGTGCTGAGGATTATTGAAGCCAGGTCCTCACACATGCCAGGCAAGTGCTTACACTGCGCCACACTCAAGTTGTACTAGCCTTGAGAGCAAATAAACCAGAAGAAAAAGCTGCAGAAGTTTAATGATGAACATAGTCATTAAGGGATCAAATGCCAGTTTAAAAAAAAAACTAATCTACTGTAGAAAGTTTTCACCCCTGGTTGTGTTTTCCATTGTGGTGAATAGAAATCTCCTGTGTTTCCTTGTGACCATCCTTGGGTATAACAGTTGTCTAAGACTTTGGTGTTAGAGTCCACTAGGAACAGATCAGGAAATGTGGCTTTGCTTCCCTTGAGTGTCCTCTCTTACTTGCTTTAGTCATAGTTCTAGGAGTTTGTATTTGACATGTTCTCCTTGCTTCTTCCTTCAGAAGTAGATATCTACCTTTGGGAGTGTTGCTTGTCCTTTCCTGCCTTTTGAATATTGCTTAAGAAGGGCTCTAGACACATGTGGAGAGAGGTAGTCTCCTCACTTTGCTAGATTCTTCTTTCTAGGTACTTTGGGGCTTTGGAGACTTCCTTTTTTTGTGTTAACTGGGTTTAGAGCTTGGCCAGCTGTGTATATATAGCTTTCTCCTTTGTTCTGAGACTAATTTAACATTTATTGGTGATAATAGAAATCGCTGAGATTGTTCACTTTATGCCAGTGATTATTCACTTTAGTTATCTCAGCTTCATATTATAAACTTTTAAAACATTTTAGAGTATTAATGTTTTATCATTTGTTACTCTAGCAAATTACTATAATCATTTACCTAATTTTTTCCCTCTCTCCCTTCTTCACTATCTTTCTGTCTTGTTTGTTTGTTTTTCTGTCTTTTGCTAAGCATCGAACCCAGGGCCTCTCACACACTAGGCAAGCACTCTACACTGAGATACACCACCAGCCCATACTCAGTTTTCTTTATTTTGCTAGATTCTTTAAATGTTTTAGGAGGCTTGAGCTCTGTCCTTTTAGAAATAACAATAGTAACAAGAAAATGTCATAGGGACTATGCTTTTATACTGGGTTATCTCTAATCCTTTAGTGTCTCAGCAAGGTAGATGTTATCATCCCAGTTTTTAAATGAGGTCGCTGATGCTTAGACATAAAATAATTTATACAAGATAAATGAGGCCTCTGGATTATTATTTATTTCAGGCTAACTGCAAAGCCACATTTTTTTGTTTTTGTTTTTGTTTTGTTACTACAAGAAATTATTCATAGAGTTTGAAATAAAAATCTTTCCCAAGATAATTGGTATTTATTCTAAAATTAGTCTTTGATAGCCAGATTTTTAGCACCTTTAGTAGGTGGTATTCTTGCCCTTGTAACTTAAATAACTAAGTTAAACTGTTAATTTTAGACGTGATTCTTATTACAGTAATGATTAATCATATTAGTTAATATGTATCACTTATTTTGTGCCAGGAATCACATCAAGTAGTTCATAAACATTAACTCATATGAAGCCAGTAAGTGACATGGAGTAAACTCTTAAGTTTTAATTGCTTTAGTGTTCTGAATAACATTTTCTAAATTTTACAATAATAAATACCACTATTATTCCTATTTTACAGATAATGAAACTGAAGCACAGTGAGTTTCATAAGATTGTAAAGATAGTACCTCTGGATGTTAATCCCATGTACTCTTGAGTCTGAAGTCACTACTATGTTGTCTCCAAAACACACATTTGACCTTGGTTAGCTTTTGTGATCAGTTTTGTTCCAATTATTCTTCAGGAATGCTTATTAGGTTGAGAGCTATAATTTTTAGGTAAACAGATTTTCAGTTAAAGAAGACTTCTTTCAAGACTGGGAAATTAGTACAGTCAGAATTATTAGTATAGTTGTATTCTGCAGACCAGTAAAAACTAAAGCAATTTAGAGAGAATTTTTATGTAGTATGCCAGGATTAGGTTTTGCCAAATAAGAAGATAATTATAAAATGTACTAAGAACAGTTTTAAAAAAGAAAAGATTGTGCCACTTAAAGAGGAAGGGTATAACAAAGAAAGGATAGTTGGTTCCTTTCACAAAGTGTGTAAACAATTTTATTGCCCTTTGTTTCTTGTTCTTACTTATGTGACCATGGCTCTCTTGGGCTGCGCATAATTCTTGTTCTACTGTTGGAACCACTGTCCAAGAGGAGAACACTACTAAGTGTGCTCAGTGTTTGTCAAAAGCTTGAGGAAGAAAAAAGCTCCATGATTCTTCATGATTTCAATCTCTTTTTTTATGAATGTTTACAAAATTACTCTAATTTAGGCTTTTTTGAGATTGTGCCCAACAGGTTTTGCAGCAAGTTTTCTCTAGGATCTTGACACCACCCCCACCCCACCCCCGCACGCACTTTTTCTCTCTTTCCTTCTTTCTAGTGATTAAATATGAACAAACCCATGAATAAGGAAGTCAAAAGGCCAGTATCAAAACACTAAAGCAGTGCCTTTTTTTTTTTTTTTTCCATGAAACTTTCTTGGATCTTACTTGGATTGTATTGGAAAATGGTTGAAATAAGTGATTTGGGTTGCCACTTGATAAGTTAACTCTGAATAATTATTTGAATTATTGTAGTTATTGTGGCATACTAGAAAGAACACAGGCTGGGAGATACAGCCATCAGGCTCTGTCTCTCTTAGTTATTGGGGAAGCCACCTGGTCTCCTTTGCCAGGTGTCCTTAGATTGAAACAAAGAAAGGGGGAAAAGAGGGAATTAGATAACATGATACTTTAAATCTCTAAAAATTTGTAAGCTTATTTCCAGTTCTTTCAACTGATAGGTTTTCTGTAGGATTTCATTCCTTTTGTGTCTTACGTGATTTTGTGTCTGCTTATATGGTTTTTTAAAAATTACATTATCGTTGTTGGAAGCATAGGATTATTAGCATCAAATTCAAAAATATCTAATGGGCAGACAAATGTATACTGTTTCCAAGTCATTTTCATGTTTCCACAGGCACATGAGTGCTTTTTAAATATATTTGCCTTGGTTTGTATTGATTGTTTATATGATTCTCAAGTGATCCATTTAGAAAATAAAATGGAAAATTAGGAAAGTTTGCTCTGTATTTCTGTGTGTGGGCTGTAAAATATTTGCCCATTGATAAGTTGTTTTTGGGGCAAAGCAGTGCATATATAAAGATAGTTCGTGCTTACAGTACATATTATAAAAGATAGTTATATAGATTGATAACTTCATTGGTTGTCAGAATAATGATTTCATTCTCCTTATTAGGTTGTAGTCTTTAAAATTATGTCTTTTCTATTTCCATGTTTTAAAGTAGTACTATAGTCATATTAAACAGTTAAGATATAAGGTATACTTACACATGTTAAAAGAATACAGTATATTTTCATATCTGATGCATACACTCTAAGACTATCTTGAGAATCTAATAATCGTCTCTCCTGCCCTCTGTAATTAGGGCAAACAGTGTGAATTCTAACCCTATTATATAAGCTCAGAGAGTCTTTCATATTTTATTTGCAGAAGCTTCTAATTTTAATAATAATTTCTTATTTAAAAAGAAATTTAAAGATATGCATTAGTTTTCTCAAAACAAATGAAAATTTTTTTCTGGAATTTATTTCTGTATACTCATTTTGTCTTTCTTTAATCTTTTCCAAAGAAATACTGATTCTTAAAGCCACTGAATTTTATCTAGGGCCTTTCTCCTTTACTCATATATTATAATGGAGTCTTTATACATTTAACAAAGTAATTAAGAGGAAGACTTCAGCTATGCTTTCAGTGTAGCTATTCTTATTTTAAAATGAGGGGGAAAAAGACCCTTTATGTATGATACTATAGGTAACGTCTTTGTTTTTAAAATCTATTGGAAGTAATCTAGCTCTGTTTCCATTTGCCAATTAGTTTCCCAGGAAGAAATAAAAGTGAATGTTATTTGATGTACTCACCACTTCCTCTGCAGTGGTCAGCCTATTTGCCAAGGTAGGTCTTAGGAGGCGTGCAGAACCTGTGTTTCTGATCAGGTACTTTAAACCCACAGGTCTAGTTTGTAGGTTCTTTTCTTGACTGGCTTTACAGCTTACATTCCTGTGTTTATAATGTTGTGGGGGCTGGTTTCAGCTGAAGCTGATGTGATTGGTCACTTAGTCTGCAGGGGGGCCAATTAGCTCTGATCATGTGGAAAAGAATGCTGGTTTGTTAGGAGGTCTTTCTTTACCCAACACAAACCTTAACAACTCTGGAGAAAGCCTCCAGAACTGACTTGGAGAAGGGGTGCATTTTTTCCCTCTAATCAGGACCGGTTTTTAGTAAGTTTGCATAATCTTACTTAAGAGTTTATTTGAAAGTTCAAAGGGATAAAGTTCCCTGCAAGATTTCCTTTCAGCCCTCTTTCCTTATATAGCATGTTGAAGTGTGAGATATCTCCTTCACTAATCTTTTTTTCCATCATTTCTTTGGGGAAGATTTATTTGGATAAGGATGTTTAGGCATAAATTAATGAATTGATTTTCCTAGTTTTCTTTTCCTGTCCCATCTTGTAAGAGTGGCTATCATTAGTTCTAGAACCAGTAATCTAGGTAATTTAGTTACCTGAATTTTCTTTTTTCATTGCAAAGAAACGGACTTTCTAAAAAGTCTGTCAAAAGGCTTTGACTAGGAATAAAATTGTTACCTTGTATTTACTTATATTTAAATAGCACTACTGTGTGAAAGACCTGAACTTGTTTTGTAAAAATTGACTTAGTGATAGGGAATGTTTTTACTGACAAGTGCGTGTAATGAAGTAGGGTGAAATACATGTTCAGGGAACATAAATTTAACTCAACTCTAAAGTAGTGTTTAGCTGGGAAATGTCTGCGATCTAGCTTGTAGCAACCTTGAAATTAGCTGAGGTATGGCTTTGTGTAATACCTTAGTGAGCAGTATTTTCTCCTCTGTTAGCTGCTAATTGTAAAACTTTGATCAAATGTCACATGTAAGAGGATCGAGAAACAAAGACTGTGGTTGTTCAAAAAGTAAAATCATGGAAGGCCTGCTGGGAAAATTATTAATGTAGACCAATATAATGCTACTTAGAAAGGGAAATCCGCCTTTGTAGATTCCTCTCCTCCCTGCAATTTAAAAAATATATTAATTCCTTTATTATTACCAAACATTTCAGTACAGGTTGAGACATAGCAATGGAAATTTTGACCTTTAGAATTAGGAAGGTAATGGCATCAAGGGAGTTTATTTGAAAGTAGTGGTGTGACATTCATTCCCTGCACGTGTTAGTATGAACTGTACTTTATATCACTTCACAGCCAATTGATTTCCAGGAAAAAAAATCAATTAACAAAAGTACTAGATCAAGTGTAGTATAAATTGCCTCCTAGAAAACAGAAGCACTTGAGTGTATCTGCTGTGTATCTTACATAGATATAGTAAGCAAGATAGGGTTTTACTCAACCCAGAATCCTCTTTTAAATGTACTCCATTTCAGAGTATATTGAGACAAAAATGATTCAGCAAAAATGGTTCTCAGTGAAACTAGAAAGAAATGTTTTCAGTGCTCTTGTTTTGTAACTGCTGGATTTTTCTGCTATTGTGGACAGCTCTGGAGTGTCCACTTGGGGCAGAGAACTCCCAAGACAACAGCCTGAGCATTTACATTTATTTCTGGTTGAAGCTGTCAGGTTAACTAGGATGAAATTGATACAGTCACAGATGATAAGCCATCTTCACCCTCAAACACATGGGCCTGCCCATCAGAACAGAATTTGTGATTTCTGTTTTTAGGTCTTTCATGGTAAGGTAATTGGAGATGCTGCTAAAGTACATCTTTTATGAGAGAAGATACTTGCTAGGTACCTTTTCATTGATAAATTTGTTTTTTTATTAAAAATTATAATGATTGGGGATTTAGCTCAGTGGTTCTGCCACCTGCCTTGCAAGCACAAGGACCCAGGTTTGAACACTGCTACCAAAAAAAAAAAAAATGGTAATGATTAAGCCATGTGTTAAGACTACATTAAAAAAATACATTTAAAAACAATTAAACCCAATTTTCAGTCCCTAACTACTGGTATTTGATTTTCTTTCTGGCTGCAGTAAGTAATCCAGTGTACAATCCACAAATATACTGCATTGTTCTTGAAAAAAATAAGACATTTGTTGGAGTACATATTCTGCTTATGTAATCTCCCATACATACTCCTATTTGTCTATCCATCCTTCCTTCTGTCCTTCCTTTTCTCCCCCTGGCCCTGCCTTTTGCTTTTCTTTTTGCAGGGCTAATGATTGAACCCAGAGTTCTGTGCATGTGAGGCAAGTGTTCTTGGGTTCCTTCTTCCAAAGGGTACTTAGCTTTCTTTCAAAGGTGTTTAGTTTCTTTCATTTCTGCTTGCTTAAGCTCAGCTAATGATTGCCTGCCCCAGAGATGTCAAGCAGCTTGTGGGTGTGTGTATCATCAGATAGTGAGCAGGAGGACTATGGGGAGTGGGACAGATTCCAGCCACTCAGGAGCCTTTCCATCCTTCTCCAGCCAGGAACTGCTGTGTTTTCAATGCTCTTGTTAAACAGCAAAGTGGGTTGTTATCCTTCCATGGTTGGGCTGCAGATCATGGAGTATAGAATTTAAATTTTTCTATCTTACCACGCCGTTTTATTTATAAGTAAGTTTTTGGAGGAGGTTAATATCAACACTTGGGTGAGATTCACTTTCAGGCTTTTCTTTAGTTTGAGGAACTATTTTTAGTGTTGATCCGAGAATATGTATGTGAATAAGCAATATAAAGTCCCTTGTTGCAGAAGTTTGCACATAAACAAGCTTCAAAGTCTGCCCCATAATTCCGCTTTTGCTCTTGGAGATTGGGCACTTGTAAGCTCCAAGTCTCACAGCTGTAGATTTTGTTGGCTGAGTGCCTCCTTGCTCCATCTGAAGTTTTCCATAAACACCACTTTTGGCTGTGGGTCAAACATGCACACAGGTGCCCTTTTACTGCTCTTTCTCCTTAGGAAGTCTACTCAGTCAGACCAGGCAAACACCAACACTGCATTTTAATTCAATTTTTAGAAGAATCTTATTTAGCTTTAATACATTAAAGCATTTAGCATCGCTGGGCACATTATATGTGACATGCTGTTTACGTATTTTAGCACCTTTTACACATAGAGTTACTGTGATGTAAGAAAATGTAAGTTAATGTGATGTAGTGTTCTCAGAAAATGGTCATATTTTCTATGGTGAATTGCAAAAATATTTAAGCTTATGTTTTTGTGTCTTTTGAAAGTCATAGACACCTTCAAGACTGATGAAAACTTTAGATCCCTTTCCTTGAAAAAAAAACACTAAAAACCATCCTGCCTCATAGTGTGCTTCGCACAGCCCTGAGCTCATTCACTGACTGTAGGTTAGAAATATTCAGGCATGAATTTGTAAATTATTTAATTAGGTTTACTTTCTTATGGTACTGGGGGTTGAACTCAGGCCCTATATCCTGAGTTACACACACATGCACACACATTTTATTTTTTATTATGAGACTGGGTCTCATTCAGTTGCTAAATTGCACAGGCTGGGCTTGAACTTGTGATCTTCTTACCTGAGCTTCCTTAAGTGCTGGGATTATAGGCATGCACCACCATTAAATTTACTTCTAAATCATTTTGTTTATGAATTAATGGTTAAGTTTGTTGGCTTGCTTATTGATTGAGATAGGGTATCATTTTGTAGTCCATGCTGGCCTTGAACTCACTGTGTACCCCAGGCTGTCCTCAAACTCATGATCCTCCTGCCTTAGTTTCCTAAGTGCTAGGATTACAGGTGTGTGTAAACCATTCCTGGTTTAGGGGCATATATTTTGAAAGTATTTCTGCAGGAAGATTGGAATAAATTCAGTTAGTTCTTTCCCACTTTTAAAGATATTGACAGACTATGTCCCCAAATATACCTTGCATGACATGTCTACTTGTCAGACTCAGATCTTAGATTATCCTCTTTCTGTTGACATTTTTGTAGATTTTTCTGGTTCTTCTACTGGGCCTGACTTGTGAGTAAACTGCTAAGAACACTGTTGTAGAAATAAACGCTGGAAAAGCTGGGTGTGGTGGCACGCTCCTGTAATCCCAGCACTTGGGAGACTGAGGTTGGAGGATTGCTGTGAGTCCAGACAGCCTGGGCTACATAGTGAGTGCCAGGTCAGTCTCAACTACATAGTGAGACCCTGTCTCAAAAAAAAGGAAAAGAAAAGAAAAGACAAAAGAAATAAACAGTGGATTAGGTTATATGCCTAGGTTCTGTTTCTCATTTGATGTGACTCAGCTGTGTGTAATTGAGCTTAAGAAACTACAAGTAGGGGCCGGGCATGTAGCTCAGTGACACCGCCCCTGCCTCGCAAGCTCACGGTCCTGAGTTTGATCCCCACTACCCCAAAAGAAAGAAAGAAAGAAACAAACTACAAGTATCCTTTTCCTCACAGCAACATTAGAGATGGTGGTGTTTGACTTAATCTCCTGTGGTTATTAAGAAGATCAGATGAGGTATATCAGTGCACTGTGTCAACTGTAATGTATCAGGTCATTTGTTTACGTGTATGTCCCTGGATTATGGGCCTGGAGAGCAGGTGCATGTCTAAGTCTTTTCTTTGTTTTTAATCCTCTTGTCCTGTTGTGTTTGTTTATTGAGGAGGTGATCATGTTAGTGTTTGCTAGAGGTTTGAGTAAAACAAATAGTAATGCAGTGCCATTTCTTTGGGAAAATATTTGGTAGTGATGACAAAGGTTGAGCAAGCTATGACACAGTTTCATACTTAAGTATATTATATACCAAACAGAAATGCACACGTATGCTTACCAAAATTGATACCCAAGAATGTTCATAAAATCACAGTTCATAATATCAGAAAACCAGAAACAACCTAAATTTGTGTCAGCTATAAAATGAGAGTGATTCAGTGATATCCTGTATGGCAGTGCAGAATACACCCCTGAGCTCTGTAGCAGTGTGAATGGATCCACATGAGTTCAGTGAAAGAATCTAGATATAAATGAATATTCCATTTATATAAAAGAGTTCAAAAGAGACACAACTAATATTTGGGAATAGATATCAGCATATTTACTTCGGCAAAGGCCATTTGGGAGAGCGTGTGAAGATTTTTGAGAGCTCCTGATTTTTCTTTTTAAAATTTCATTTTGAATCAGGGTCTTGCTAAGTTGCCTAGGCTGGCCTCAAACTAGCATTCCATCTACTTGTAGCTGGGATTATAGGTGTAGATTTTAAAATCTAAAGTGGTGGTTACTTGCATATTATATGCTTGGTAAAAATTCAGTGAACTGAACATTTGTGATTTTTGTATTTTTTGGTAAGAATGTTATATTTCTTTTAAAAGTTTTCTTAAAGGGAGGAGGAGGTGAGCAAAGTACACCTACAAATTCTTGACTCTTTTTCACCGTTCTGCTAGGAAAGTGACAATGACCCCTGAAGGTATAACTCCACCTATTTGCTCTTCCATAATTTTGGGTTTCCTTTGTTTATCAGAAAAATTATAGTCTAAATCTATTATAATTGATAAAGGAAAAATATAGTACAGTGTTTAAAAGTTATTTTGTGGAAACAGTCACTTGGTAATAAAATTTGAACTCATTTGTTACAGTGTTTCGAACTTGAACAGGCTAATGTTCATGTAAACACAGGCTGCTTCATCTCAGATTCCCCTCCTTGCAGTGAAGAATCTGGTCTTCACTCCTCAAGGTATATTGATTGGAGTTAGAGCTAGAGTTTATTTTATTTTAATATTTTTGAGACGGTCTCGCTATAGTTCAGGCTGTCTTGAACTCATGGGATGTTCCTCCCTCAGCCTCTGCAGAGCTAGAGTTTAAACCAGGTCTAGTGATTTCAAGGTTATCCTTACTTTTGTTGTTTTCCTGGTACTGATGATTGAACTCAAGACCTTGCACTTGCAAGGCAGGTATGGAGCCCCTGAGCTAAATCCCTGGGCTTGATCATACGTTTTTGGTTTCTGGTACTCTTTATCTATGTGAAAAAAAAAATTTTTTTTTTTTTGAGACAAGGTCTCACTATGTAGCTCAGGCTGGCCTTGAACTCACTACATATATAGTCCAGGCTGGCCTTGAACTCCTGTCACTCCTCCTCAGTGCTATAATTACAGGCTTTCACATCTTTTTGGCAAGAAGAAATGGTGTAAATGTTTAAACAAATTTTATGATGTACAGATTTTCCAGTAGTTTGGGAATCACGAGATCGTTTTCAATAAGTTTAGAAGCCAGAGTTTTCTTCCTACAGTTTTTAAATTTTTACTCTATCCTGTCTTTTATATTTTTCTTGTTCCTAGGTACTTGTGATTACAAGGATAAAGAAGATAAAGAAGCTCCTAGGTTAGGAAATCATGTTTAAAGGGCTCACATACAGAAAACAACATGAAAAAAAATTTTAATGAAAAAAATTCATGTTTGAGTCACTTTAGTATACCATTTTGCAATTAAAAAGATAGTAAATAGGACTGGGGATTTAAAATGCTCAGTGGTGCTGCACCTGCCTCTCAAGCACAAGGAACTGAGTTCGATTCCTGGTACCAAAAAAAAAAAAAAGATAATAAACATTTTAATTTTAATTTTAGTATATGTGCTGCCAAAATGAGCATGATAGTAAACACTTTAAAAGGAGAGCAGTATTTAATGTTGATAATGGAAGAAGATACTGTATGATGGTTTGACTTCCCTTTGTGTGTGTGTGTGTGTGTGTGTGTGTGTGTGTGTGTGTGCTGTGTTTGGTGGTGGATATATTTATGCTATTAAGCCTGTCATTTGGCTTCACTTTCATTCCTTGAATCTTTTTTCAGAAGAAAGTTCAAAACAATATACATGCAAATATTTTTTAAAATTTATTTTTACAATTTTACGTTTTTATTAGTACACTTTGTAGTAATTCTCCCCACCCCTTTTGAGTCAGGGTCTCACTCTGTATCCAAGGCTGACGTTGAACTCACTATGCAGCCCAGGCTGGCCTTGAACTCAAAACAATCCTCCTGCCTCAGCTTTCCGAGTGCTGGGATTACAGATGTGTGCCTCCACAAGGGCCATAATACTATTTCTTGCTTCAACATTTATAGCTTGCAAAAAATTACAATGTCTAATACATTTATGCTACAGCAGGAAGATAAAACTAGTTTGTGCTTATTATTACATTTGAGTCCAAAAGTTTGAGGCCAGCCTAGGTAACATAGATAAATTCTGTCTCAAAAAAAAAAAAAAAGAATAATAATAATAATAATGAAAGCTTAGTACAGGTAAAAATAATTTTCTGTTTTTAAGATTGTAGGATTATAAGTACTTTCATATTTTAATTTTTTATTCAGTAAAACCTTTAATAGTTTATCATGCTAGGAAAAAAGGTAACTTGTTTTTTGTTTTTTTGCCATGCTAGGGATTAAATTTAGGGCCTCACACATGATAGGCAAACGGTGTACCACTGGGCTACATCCCTAGCCCTAAACAGGTTTTTAAATGACTTATACATTTTGCCATTACTGTTTACATTGGTAAATTGATTACTTTTTCAAAGATTTGGTGTAAAAGTAGATGATAAAAATGAGTGGTTTAGCTAGCTTATCCATCATGTCTTTAGCATTGTTATGTCCCAAGTTTCAGCTCGGGGCATCACACATAATTATTTGTGGTTGTCTGATTTGTATACATTAAGACTTCTTTGTTTTAATTTCTCTTTGTAAATGGGCTGGGGATTTAGCTCAGTGGTTCTGCCTCCTGCTTCATAAGTGCAAGGTCCTGAGTTTGATCCCCCAGTACCAAAAAAATTTTTTTTCTTTGAAAGCATAACTAAATTTGTCCTTCAGTCATGTGATGAAAGCACTGCTTTGTGAAAATGGATCTTCCCCTCTTAATCTAAGCAGGTGAGGCAGGCATGGAATATGTTTGCATTCAGATCCAAAGAACTTGCCATTCTATGTGCTATAAATATTTGTTGAATGATCAGAAGATTATCATTTGAATTCCATCTATGCTGTTAAAAGTGGTGTGTGATTTTGGACAATTCTCTTGGGTTATTTTATTTATTTATGTTTTTTGGTACTGGGGATTGAATTCAGGACCTTGTGCTTGTGAGGCAGGTGTGGGTGCCAGTGAGCTAAATCCCTAGCCCCCTGCATTATTTTTTTGAGTTTGAGTATTGTTAGCTGTAAAATGAAAAAAAATTGTTTTTATTATTTATGATTGTGTTGCTGCTAACAACAAACATGATCTCACTTTCTGTGGACAAGGAAAACAAGTGGTTCTGGCCCAGATCTGTCTGTCGGGGTGGTCGGGGTGACCACCAGCATGGCCATTATCTCGAAGCTCTGCTGGGATTGGTTGCATTTCTAAACTCACTTACTTTTCTGGTGGTAAGCCTCAATTCTTCACCATGTAATTTTCCCTAATGGGTATCCCACCACATGGCAGCTAACTTATTTCCGAGAAGGTGTTCCGGATCGAAGCCATAGGTTTTGAAAACTTAGTATCGGAAATGTTATTTCACCATTTAGGTTGTATTCTGTTTGTCAGTTGTCAGTCCAGCCCACAGTAAGGGGAAGAGTATTACTGGAGATGAGCAGCCAGAGATTGTCGGGGCTGTTAGAGATGCTGCCCCCAATGAGAAAGCAGGTCATATTTTCCCAGTGAATAATACTCCCTCCTTTCTAAGATACTTTATTCTTAATTGAATAATACAGTCGGACATATAGGCAAACAAGATCTTGAATCTTATTTACTGTGTATAATATGGCACAGAAGAAGATAATTAGAAATTAAAATTTCCTCAGTATTAGATAACAGTGTTCAAATTTTTCACTTTTATTGTGGTGTAATAAAAAGTATTTGCCACAAAGAGAATGTGCAACTTTCTTAGAGACTGAGGACATCAGTATGTTCTGTTTTGGATTTTGAACCTCTTTAATGTGAGAATTAATATGATGTTATGAATTTGTATGTTAGCACATGAGTGATGGTAATTAAATAATCTGTTTATGTAATTTAGAATTATCATCTATAGTTTGCTTGGCGTACCAGGCTCCTTTTTCTTTAATGCAACTCTTGAGGTACTAAGTTTGACATAGCTTAGCTTTGAGTTTTGTTCAGAAGCAATTTGTTGTGTGCCTGTGTTGTGCTAGATGCTAGAGTAAATGGAAATTTATAACTCACAGTCTCTCTACTTTTGAATTTATAATCTGTTCTGGAATAAAAATAAGTTGAAGTGTACTAATTTCCTGTTTAGGCAGAATTACCAGTACAGGTTAGTTAAATAAACTACATCATGGGCTAAGAATTTAGCTCAGTGACACTGCGCCTGCCTTGTAAGCATAAGGTCCTGAGTTTGATCCCCAGTACCCCCCCAAATAATAATATAAACAGCATCGTATAGTAAAAAGTGCTATATAAAGAAGTATGTACAAGTAAGGAAGGATTGGCAAGATACACTGTTAAGTGAAAGCAACACAGGCACAAAACAGCATGCAGTACACCAGGAAAGTAGCATTTGTATGTGTGTGGGTGCATGTGTATAAGTGTACCTATAGATAGTGTTTTGAAAGCTTTACAATAAACTACTGATGGTGGTTACTTCAATGGAATAGGACTGGGGGGGTGTTACTTTGGAAGATGATTGGTTTACTTTTGTTACATGTCCTTTTTAAAAATGCATATGTCGTTTTTATTTAAAACTAATTGCTCAGTTTACATTTAGCTTTAAGAAAAGTGATATGTATATATATTCAGTTATTTTACAGATACTTTTTAAACATTAAATTGGCCTAGTCTTTATTTTATTTTATTTTTTTGGTACCGGGGATTGAACTCCAGTCCTTGCTCTTGCAAGGTAGGTGGCAGAACCACTGAACTAAATCCCCAGCCTCATAATTGGCTTTTGGAAAGTTTGATTGGAGCTGTCAGGTTTGTTTTTCAAAATCTTTACTAACAAGGGCACATGTTTATTTACCATGTTTTCTTATTTTATTTATAGGGAGACCAAATTTTGAGGAAAGTGGACCAACATCAGTGGGGAGAAAGCATGAATTTATACGGTCAGAAAGTGAAAATTGGCGAATCTTTAGAGAGGAACAAAATGGAGAAGATGAAGATGGAGGTTGGCGGCTAGCTGGGTCAAGAAGGGATGGAGAGAGGTGGCGGCCTCACAGTCCTGGTAAGAATTCTCTTACATAAAAGAACAAAGGGACTGAAGTAAGTGAGAGTTTGATGAAAGTATTAGAGATTTTTTTTTAAAGAGGCATGAGAAAGATTTATTAGAAGTAGATATATGATGCACTGTAGAACAGAGTGTGGGTTTGCAAAGAAATGAGGTACCAGTGTTAGGGATTAAGTGAAAAAGGTAAACTGGCTTTGAAAAAGAAAAGGAGGGTTCATTTATGCCATCATACTCAGTCTTACTACTACAAAGAAATTTCAGCATGAAAGCTTCCCATCTATTCAGTTGATTGAAATCACTTTTGTTTTCCTGGGGCAAAGAGTATCGTTTAATGGAAAGCACCTGCCTGCAACAGCAACAGAGAGGGTTTCATTCAGTTTTGTGTAGTGTTTAATCTTTTAATCTTAGCATTCTTTAAAACTTACAGTAGTGGGGAGGATTAGGGGAAAAAAACTTAGAAATGTATAATTATACACTGGGAATATGTGTCCTCTTTACAAGTGGGTATTTTTTCTAAATAAAGGATTTATTTTTTCATTTTTTTTCTTTTAAAAAATGTGATTTATGTTTATTTGAAGAATAAACTTTAAACCCAGGTCAGAGACATAATCACAAGTTCATTCTTTTGCCCCTCTGACTTTAGAAAAGGAGAGAGAATAGTAGTGTCAGTAATTTTAAAGTTTTTCTGTTAGACTCTTAAGAATGCTTCAAACTGTTCTTTTTGGACATTAGATATGCTGGTAATTAAAGACACTGGCGCTTTGTGTTAAAGTTCATCCCCTACCAAACTGCTGATTCTATGCCTCATGATAATCAGATGCAATTGTAGCTTGAATCATGGGGTCATACAGAACTTCAGTGTACTGAGTGTAATACTCTTTGCATTTCATGTGCATGATAATATATCAACAACCATATGCCAAAGAAGCTTACCTTTAATAAAGGAAACTAAAATAATGCAAATGATTTTTACTTTTAAAAAATATTTATCAGCAAAGATGTAGCCACTAGGCTACATCTGAGTAAATATTTTAACAGGCATTGAGTGTATTTTTTGGAATTGTAGATAGGTACAAACATGATGAAGTTACTCTGTGGATAGAGTTAGGATGTATTGTTTATATCACAGGATCTAGACATTTCTCATTGGGCTGTGTCCTGGTCAACCAAGTGTTACAGTTCTCATCAAGGCAATGGGACATTTTGTGCCAAGCTTGACTGTAAACTGGAAGGTGTATAGAATATGTTCCCAACAAGGATTTAGTGAAGGATGGACAGAATCTGGGTTGAGTGAGAAGATAAATTCCAGCGATAAAAAACAAGGTGAATATTTTAGAAGATGAGCAGTATTTCTGAGACCAAATGTCTGATGTTGATTCTGTTAAAGGCAGTTAAGTGAAATTTTAGTATTTTCTTCTACTGTTGTCCCTACAACTTAGTGTTTTTTTTTTTTTTTTTTTTTTTTTTTTGGCATAGGAGATCAAACTTGGGATCTTGTGCTTGCAAGGCAGGCAGTGGAACCGCTGAGCTAAATCCCTGGCCCTGGCCCTACAACTTAGAATTTGGTTCTATATTATAGTCTTTTTCAACTGGACATTCCTGTTTTTTTTTTTTGTTTTTTTTCTTTTTATACAAGGTCTTGCTATGTGGTTTAGGCTGGCTTTGAACTCAGTTTGTGGGTCAGACTAGCCTCAAACTCACAGTGATCCTCCTGCCTCAGCTTCCTGAGTTCTGGGATTATTGGCATGTACCACCGTGCCTGTGCAATCCATCCCCTTTTTTTTTTTTTTTTTTTAAGTTTTTTTGAGACATTGTCTCACTATATAGTCCAGGCTGGCCCCGAACTCACCTGTGATCCTCCTGCCTCAGCCTTCCAGCTGGGATTACTACACCCAGGCCACTACACCCAGCTTTCATCCACATATTTTAAAGTCAGTTCAGGATAAAGAAGAGCAAATCAGGGCCCGGGGATTAGCTCTGGTTCCACCACCTGAGTTCGATCCCCGGTACAAAAAAAAAGAAGAGCGATCAGAAAAAGACCACTACCAATACATTAAGAAAATACTGTTTTCTTTTTTAGCCAGAATTTTAAAAGCTTAGTCTGACTACAGCTATTGTTACAGGCTGTTAACATTGTACATAGTTAATCTCACATTAGAATTTGAATGACATTTTAAATATAATTATATAAATGTAAATACAGTTGTTTTGGCTGATTTTTTAAAATAATGTGCATCTTAAGTCAGATACAAAGCCCACAAAGACTAGCCTTAATAAGCTATCTCACTTATGTAATATTTTTAGTTTCATGAGTAGCTTTATTAGCTATTCATAAGAGGACAACAGAATTAGAATGTGTTGTTTTATAAAGTAGAGCTCGCAGCTGGATATAGTTGGAGTTGGGGACATGGAAGACAGTGAGCCATCAACTCTGGGGCTGAACTTAGGAAACCCAGTAAGAGGGAACTTGAGCCAGGTGCCTAGAAGGATAGATTCCTATCACAGTGCATACTTAGACTATTTAGAAATGATAGTAGTAGACAGGACTCTGGAATTCAACATTTGATCTTGAAGACGCCTTTTGAATAATGACTCTAGGTTTACACTTCAGCAATCTAGGTATAAAATTCCGTAGTTCCCATGGAAGGTAGTAAGTAGTATTTAGTTGTTACAAGTAGGGTTGGGGAGTGTGAGGATAACTTCTTTAATTGAGTGTCTTATAAGATGCTACTTGTATTTGTCATCTTAATGCTTTACCTTTTGTAGTTTGATGTTTTTAGGTCACTGACTAGCAAGTTGGGCCTCAGTTATAAGAATATTTCATTTTGGCCTCATTTCTTTTGTGCATGTCTCATAGAGTAAGCGATCAAGAATAGAAATATTCTCATTCTTTTTCAGAAAAATACTGTAAATAGGATCTTTGTCCTTAGGTAGTCTTTTTCTGTTGGAAGGTAGATGTAAATATATAGTGTGCTAGAGTGGATTTAGGAGTGTCCCTGGGGGATATTGTATGGAAATAAAAGCTCCCTAGGGAGAACTAAGGTGGGGAGGAAGGGGAAAGAGACTAAGCCTGTGATTGTGGAAAAGCACAGAAGGATACAGAATTTGAATCTATTTCTGCTTTGCTGTAGTTTTTGTTGTTTCTGTCCAAGTTTTAATTTTCCCCTAATGTATAAAATTAGGGTACTAGGCCATATAGAAATCTGTAGCATAATCTGTCCATACTGTAGTTCCATGGCCTTTTGTTAGAAGTCAAAATTACAAATGAGAAGTTGGCTTTAGTAAGTAGGCACGTTGAATTTGATACTATAAATCGACACGGGGAGCTTGTCTTATCCATAGGAGTGATTTCATGGAAGAAAGAAAATGCTTTAAGATCTGCCACAGGGAAGGCATAAACTTCAGTGTGGAAAGATACCTGGTGCTGTCAGTCTCTGCTAGGGGTAGGCCACACGAGTGGCTATTATCAGCATTAATCGGATACCTAAAGCTTATTAAAAGTGTATACTTCAAGTGGATGGCCTTTCATGTTACTTTGTTTTAAATTTATCGCCTAAAGCTTTTAGAGTATGTTGAGTGGCTCAGTACTTGATGAAGGTAGGTACTGTTGTCACTTAGTGATGATTACATAAACTCTGAGTTCTGAACTTCATTCAGTTGCTTAATTTTATCTCTTCAATAGGTTGATTTTGAGTTTGCTGTCATAGTTTTCTTCTCTGTTTCCTATCCATGATTTTATTTTCCAAATACTGAGTCATAGAACTTTTCTAAGGTTTTTGTCCTCCTCCTCATCTCAGATGGTCCTCGTTTTGCAGGCTGGCGGGAACACATGGAACGACGTCGGAGGTTTGAGTTTGACTTTCGAGATCGGGATGATGAGCGGGGCTACCGAAGGGTGCGCTCTGGCAGTGGAAGCATAGATGACGACAGGGATAGCTTGCCTGAATGGTGCTTAGAGGATGCCGAAGAAGAAATGGGCACATTTGACTCATCTGGTGCATTCCTCTCTCTTAAAGTAAGATATTTATTTTAAAAGCCCTAACAAGCACTGACCTTATACCAAAGCCAAATATGATGTTGACATTTGGTTCTGTTTTCTTGCTACAGAAAGTACAGAAAGAACCTATTCCTGAAGAGCAGGAGATGGACTTCCGGCCAGTGGAGGAAGGGGAGGAGTGTTCTGATTCTGAGGGCAGCCATAATGAAGAGGCCAAAGAACCTGATAAGACAAATAAGAAAGAGGGAGAGAAAACAGGTAGAGTAGGAGTTGGTAAGGTCCACTGTGTATTTTACCTTTCCCCTCTATCAAACCAAAACTTGCCTAAATTTATTTAAGATTATTTCATGTTGCAGAAACTAGTGAGGATATACCCCATACTTCATCGTCATCTGTTAGACCAGCTACTCCTTCAGACCATCAGCCTCAGGAAGCATCACAGTTTGAGAGGAAAGATGAACTCCAAACTGAACAAAGGGAAAAAAGTGAAGAGGAGACTCGGGTGGAAAGTAGTCTATCAGCCAAGGTCCCCAACAGAGTGGAGGGTATGTATTTGTGAATGTAGAGAAGCCAAAAGTAAGATTCTAGGTTCTGTGGAGGCAGTATTCACCAATACATTAGGCTTCTGTTTATGTGTCCTAGAAATGCTGCTAGGCTTGAATTGCTGGGAAAGCTCTTTTTACTAGTACACCCAATCAGTGCTTCTCACTTGTTTCCATCTTAGAATTCACCAAAATAGAGTTAGACTCTTTCAAGTTGGGTTTATGATCCTCTGCATTAGTTTGATTTCCAAGCACTTAAGCTTTCTTTCTTCTAATGGTTATTTACATGCCCAGCTTCACATCAAAATGTTAGTGTTCCAAAAAGACTACATGGAGAAATCTGGAAGTCCATCTCCTCTGCTAGAAAATAAGCGTGTAGTACATTCTCTAGTATTACTGCTCATACACATTTTTAGGCAATATCAGTGTTTATTTCCATAATTATTATTATATATATTAAAAATAATATTACAGAATGCCTGATTTTGAAGAGTAGTTTGAGTCGTTCATCATGAAAGTTTATACCCTTTAACAAGGCCTGGCATAGTCAAGCATTTGCTTCCTACCATACAGTTTCAGTACTAGCCTCTTTATCTCCTTCACACTCTGCTCATTAGCCTCAAAGCCTTTAGGTCCTTACTGCCCTATTCTCTGTGTTCATGCTTTTCTCTTCCTGAAACCTTCATCAGTCCCTGTCCCAAGCTAAATTGTTGTTTTCTGCTGTTTCTTGAATAGTTTATATTGTTTCTTTTATAAAGATCTGTTACTTTTTTCTCCAGTAGACCTTAATACTTTTGAGTGTTTGAACCAAGACTTTCAGCTTTTTGTCTAGTAGAAATCTACTAATAGAATTCAACAAATATTCGAATCTATCCAAATCATTTGCTGTGGGACCTGTGTCTTTTGAGACCATTTTGAGTCATGGTAGTTGTTTTGGAGTTACATGTCCCAGAATTACTTGTTCACTTCCTTGAATGAATATGCCTACGGGTCTTATTCTGGGAGATTTTAGGGTCACACCCAGATATGTATATGTAAATCTTCATAAAAGGGCATTAAAGGTTAATGTTCTAGATTTATAGTTTGTAGTGAATTAAATCATGTGTATATCAATAACCCAGGGCAATAATGATAGGATACCACTATGGGAAGATTCTTTGGTTGCAAGCAGGTCATTTTTGAACATATCTTAGAGTAATAAGTGGGATTTGAAGGTGTAGGGGTAGTTAGATGAATTGGGAGAGGACATTTCAGTACCAAGGAGCAGTTAAAGCTGAAGTGAAGAGGTGGGGTGGATTGAGGTGGGGGCAGGAATCACCTTCTGTTTTTATTTGGATGTGGTCTCAGGTGTGAAAAGGAGGCTGGTGGGAAACACAGTTGAAACTCAGATTCAGTGGCTGTATGTAGCATCTCTTCTTTTGGTTACTGTGATTTGTTGTATTCCTTGGCAGTGCACCTATAAAGGGAAGGCCATAGAAGATGAGATTTCAGATTCAACATTAACAATGCTTAGTCATTGAGAGAAAAGTCAAAGATGATGGAGGTCGCTGAGAGAGGATTATGGTGCCATTCACAAGAAAAGAGTGTGGAAAATGGAGGAGCACGTTTGAAAGAAATAAGAATAAATTCAATTTTGAATACTTCAAAGCATTAATAAGAAGTAGAAATGACCAGAGAGGAGTTGTGAATGAGGAAATAGTTTAGGGCCAGAAAAATAATTTTGGAAATTACTGACATTTGGATAGGAGTGAGAAGAAAAGTGGATTGAGAATAGAACCTTTGGGTGATTCCTAGTTTTAGGATAGATAAAGGAAGAGATCCAGAGAAAAATCTTTAGTTATACAAGTAGAGTTAGGAGAGGAGAGTGGAGGGAAATTGAGGAAGAGAACAATTCAGCATAGAACTGGGATGGTAACATCAGGTGCTGTGAAGGATTAGAAATAGTCTCAGAGTTTGGCAGCTTTGCGTCATGGTATCTTTGAGATAGGATCTCTACTGGAGAGGTGGGGAGTCGAAGTCACATTGTATTAGGTGTGGGTGGCAGGGCAATGGAGACAGCATGTATAACTGTCCTTGTCAAAAGTTTGGGAAAGAAAGAGAGGATTAGGGTTTTTGAAGCTATCTGCGAGAAGCTATCTGTAATGGAGCAAACAGAGTTTCAAAGGAGAAACTGCAGTTATTTAGTTACTTGCACATCCTCTCCTTTTCTCCTGTCCTGCTCTGCTCTGCTCTTCTGTGCTGAGGACAACTTGCGGCCTTGGGTGGGCTAAACTAATTCTGTTCCTCTGAGCCATATCCCTAGTTCCTCCTTCCTTTTCAAAAGCCTGCATACTGACAGGTTAGAACAACTAGAAACTAATAGGAGCTCCCTCTGCAATTTTTATTCTTACTGGGAAGAACATCCTATTCTGTGCAGATAGACTTCTAAATAAAACATGTAATTTATTGAATTACATTAATTGCGACTTGAAATAGATATTAAGATTCTTGCAGGTATTCTCAATAACAGCTTTGCTGACCTGTGACATGTGTTTGAGAAGAATTGGTTGCTTTTTCTTTTTTTGGTACCAGGAATTGAACTCAGGACCTTGTGCTTACGAGGCAGGTGGCAGAACCACTGAGCTAAATCCCGAGCCCTGAATTGGGTGTTTTGATACCTGTTTAGAGGCATGTTATAAGGAAAAGATTAGATTGATTCTGTTGCCAAGAGATCCACTTACTACTATTGGGTAGATTCTTTAGCGCCACAGGTCAGCACCATGTAGAACAACCTAAAGTTTTAACCCTTATTTGTTGTCATCCTGTGATGTTAATTCCGTTATTGTAGGGAGAAATACTATACTTCTTCATAAGAAGTAGTTTCAGTGTTCATGACAGGGTTCACATTTCTGTTGGGCCCATTCAGCAGGCTGCCCAACTTAATAACACAGTTAACCTTCCTGAGAGTCTGTATTTCCAAGGATTTTCATCAGTGTAACTTCTTTTTCTCTAGAAATGGTTACCGATATCCAGCAGCCCCTGACTCAGCTCCCTCCAGACACAGCCTCTCCTCTTCTCATACTTCCACCTCCTGTTCCTGCTCCTAGTCCTGCCCTGCGGCCAGTTGAGATGCCAGTTGTTGGTGCTCCTGGGATGGGCAGTGTTTCCACAGAGCCAGATGATGAAGAGGGCCTCAAACACTTGGAGCAGGTAAAATTCACGTTTTTCTTCTTTGTCTCCTTTCAAACTGCCATGAAGTTTAGAAAGTTGTAAATGTAAACATGTAATAATAAAATTGAAATGAAATGAAATGAAATAAATCTTGCCCACTAGATTTTAAGTACTGGAAGAGTTGTTTGGTTATTTAGTATTTATTTATATGAGTAATTGTCTTTCAAATCATTTCATGCTTATAAGTTTCTGCTATGTAGTAGTCATCAAGTCAGGTTATTTTTTGCTCTTCTGAGGTTGCCTTTAGCTGTTTACTTTTCTTTTTTCTTTTTGAACATTAATGGAATGCTAAAGATGGCGAATACAAGCAGCTGTGGATGGTCGCTGTCTTCTGTGTTTTTTGCCTCAAGTGTAACAGAGGGAATGGTTTAAAAGTTTCAGGATACTAACTTTATGTCCGTACTTTCCTTAAGATTGTATATACACTGTTACTTGCTTTTCTACCAAAGGATTTCTCTTTGAGCTTGTCATGATTAGAGGTAAGAAATGTTGAAGAAAGGAAGGAGGATAGTGTCAGTAAAATATGTAAAAGACTTTTGAGTTATTTGTTCCATTAACACCCTTTTTAAAGAAAGGTTTAGTTTATACAATTTAGAACTGACCAAAGGCTTATTAGTTTAAAAACTTAGTGTATAAATCAGAAACTTGGGCTTTCATTAATACTAGTTTGTATTTCGATCTCGGTTGCTTTAATTTTGAGACCTTGAGCAAGATTTAATGTGCTTGAGCTTACCCCTCCCCCTTCTGTAAAATGAAGAGGGTCTCAAGTGTTTCATTGGCATTTGCGGGGGCAGTGAGGGCTTGTTACTTTCTTCCTTGTATAGTGTCTTTTATAAAGTATTGTCATTACATACTGTATATGTTTTAATTTAACGTCATTTGTTTCTCATTCTTTGTTCTGTTTTTGTTTTTCTCTTATTAGCAAGCTGAGAAAATGGTGGCTTATCTTCAAGACAGTGCACTAGATGATGAGAGACTGGCCTCAAAACTGCAAGAGCACAGAGCTAAGGGTGTGTCAATTCCATTGATGCATGAAGCAATGCAAAAGTGGTATTACAAAGATCCTCAGGGAGAAATCCAAGGTAAGTTGTTGCTTTCTGCTTTAAATATTAAAATGTTTGCCATTAGTTCCACCATCATATAAGAAGGAGGTTTGTTTAAGGTTAACTTATATAATAATAAAGACAGACACCAACAGACTTCATATTATATATGAAGGAAAAAAATATATAAAATTTGAACACAAGGCAGAATGTGCTAATTAATGTGACAGTGGTATAAGCAAAATGCTTAATTATCGCAGCTCCAGCATCTCGGCTGGATAAATAGGCAGGTAACTTACTCATCTTTGTGCCTTAGTCTCCCTGGCCATTAAAAGTTGACGGCAACAGTGTTGGAGGATCTTAAATATGTTGCTTAAGTAGACTTGATTTAAGAGGTGGCAAACCACTAGAAATGTTAGGAATGAATTCCTGAAGAGGTTTCTTTAGAATGGGAGGAAAATTCTGAGTGTAAAGGATTTTTGTAGAATTCATTTCTGCTTTAGCAGTCTTTACTTACAACCTGAAGTTGGTTGTTGCCTACATTAGTATCAGTCTTAGGGCAGTATTTTACCAAGTACACTCTAAGGTCTCTCCAGCATATTAACGTGTCTTCCATGCATAGTCCCCTTACCTTCCCTTATTCTCCTTCATAGCATTTATTGCTATCTGGTGTTGTGTGTATGTGTGTGTATGTATGTATATATAGATATATAAATATAGATAGGGAGATTGATATGTGTTCATTGTTTGCACCTCAGTACAATCTAAGATACCTGTGAGCAAGGCTTCGTGTGTATATTTAAATTTCTTTTGGGATAATTGTAGCTTTACATACAGTTGTAAGAAATAATACATAGCCGGGCATGGTGGTGCACGCCTGTAATCCCAGCACTCGGGAGGCTGAGGCAGGAGGATCACTGTGAGTTCCAGACCAGCCTGGGCTACATAGTGAGTTCCAGGTCAGTCTCAACTACACAGTGAGACCCTGTCTCAAAAAAAGAAAAAAAAAAAGAAATAATACATAGACATTCTGTGTGACCTTTACATAATTTCTCGTAATGGTAACCTGTTATAAAACTATAGTCTACGCCAGGATATTGAGTTGGATAACAGTCCAATTTCAGAACCTTTCTATTTCAACAGGGATGCTACATATTGTCCTCTCATGGCCACCTGCATTTCCCTTCTACCTGTTCCCTTGTCCCCCCTTGGCAACCACAAATCTGTTTTTTATTTCTGTATTTAAAGAATGTTATGTAAACGGAATCATACAGTATGTAACCTTTGGCTCTATTTAGTCAGCATAAGCTCTGGAGATTTATTCAGGTGGTGGCTGCGTATATCAGTAGAAAGCATGATCAGAAAATAGGCTGAATGTCATCATTTAAAAATCTCATTACAGTAAAAGACACAATGTCATTAATTACCCTCAAAATACTTTCCCTCACTTCAGATGCATCCCTTGTTCTCGTCATCTCTGAAACAGTTCTGGAAATCCTCTTTGTAGTGTTTTTTTGGTTGCGCTGTTGTGGCTGCCTTAATGTCCTAAATGTATTCAAAACATTTACCTTTCAAGATCATATTTTTCACTTTGGGAAGAGCCAAAAGTTGTACGGTGCCTGATCCAGTGAATAGGTTGGATGAGGATACATAGTAATATTTGCAAGCTGGGCTGGGGATTTAGCTCTGGTTCCACCACCTGCCTTGCAAGCACAAGGACCGGAGTTTGATCCCTGGTACCCACCAAAAAATTTCTTTTACAAGCTGCCTCTCCTTTGTATGGCACTCTGCAGCAGCATTCACTGTATTTTTTATCACACCTCCTAAAGATACTCAAGAAAGGGGACTTCCAGAACTGCTGTAGAGAGTGGCAAGAATGATAGGATGTGTATTTGAAGCAAGAGGGAGGATTTTGAGGAGGAGTAATGGCAATATATCTTTTACTGTAAAATTTTTCTTTAAAAAATTTCAGCATCTACCTTGTATTTTGATCACTTCTTGTAGTTACTTTTATTACTGAGTAGCATTGTTGAGTGGATATAAGTATGTTATAGTTTGTTTAGTCATTCATTTTTTGAAGGATATTGGGTTCCAATTTTGAGTATTGTCAATAAAGCTGCCAAAAACATAGATGGACAGATTTTTGTGCCAACATTCCTTTAGGGTAAATGCAGCTGGTAGGTTGAGAGGTGGCTGCATGTTTAGTTTTTACTGCCAAACTTTTTTCCAGGGTGGCTGTACCAATTTTCAATGCCCTTCAGCAGTGTATGAGTGAGGTACTTTGTCCACATCCTTACTAGCATTTCATGATGTTGATACTTTTTAATTTTAGCCATTCTGTCAGGTGTGTAGTGATAAATTTTGTCACAATCCCACTGTAGTTTAAAATTTACATATCCTTAATGGCTAATTATATTGAACATCTTTTGGTGTGTTTATTGGCCATTTGTAAAGTTACCATCTTAATCATGTTCAAGTATACAGGTGAGTGGTATCAAATAAATGTGTAATGTTGTACAGTCATGACTACCATAACTCCTTTACTCTTTCCAAATTGAAACTTTAAGCAGTGATTCTATGTGTCTTCCTTGGCAACCATGATTCTGTTGTCTCTGATTTTGACTATCCATGTAAGTGGAATTGCACAGTGTTTCTTTTTATATGTAACTGGTGTATTTCACTTAGCATAATGTCCTCAAGGTTCATCCTTGTGGTCATGTCAGAATTTCCTTTATTTTAACAGTATTCCTTTATTTGAATATTCTTCCACAGTTTGCTTATCTGTTTCACCCATCAGTGGACTTACTTCCACATTTTAGCTATTGTAAATAATGCTGCTGTGAACCTGGATGTACAGATGTCTTTGAGACTCTATTTTCAATTCTCTGGGGTGTATATCTAAAAGAAAAAGTGCTAGATTATACAGGAATTGGGTCTTTATTTCATCTATCTGTCTATCTATTATTCTATCTATCTATTTTTTGTACCAGGGATCGAACTTGGGTCCTTGTACTTGCAAGGCAGGCAGCAGAATCTCTGAGCTGAATCCCAAATCCCCAGCAAAAAAAATTTTTTTTGTACTGGGGATCGAATTCTGGACCTTTCTGTTTATAATTTTTCATAGCTGGTGCATTAGTTTACATTCCTACCAAGGAATTCACAAGGGTTTCAGTTTCTCCACATCCTTGCTAACTCTCATTTTAAAAAAATATTAGTTACCCTCAGGTGTCTTTTTATAGTGTTAATGTGCATTTCTCTAATGATTAGGTATGTTGAGCATCTCCTCATGTGTTTACTGGTCATTTATATGTCTTCAAACGCATGTCTTCAAACGCATGTCTATTCAAGTTCTTTGTTCATTTTTAGTTTTCTCTTTCTCTTTGTCTTTTGTGATAAGGTCCTGTTATATTGTATAGGCTGGTCTCAAACTTCTGGGCTGAAGCGATCCTCCTACCTCAGCCTTCTGAGCAGCTAGTACTGAAACCTGGCAGATTGATTTTTGTGTTTACTTTGTGTCTTGTTATTTTTCTGAATTATTATTTCCAATTGTTAATTTTAAATGTACTTAATTGGTTTTTGCATATAAGATCCTATTGTCTTTTTAATTTGAATGGCTCTTTTTTTTTCTTCTTCTTCTTGAGTATTTGCTCCGGGTAGAACTTTTCAGAATTGCCTTGAATAGAAATGGTGAAAAGTGTACATAATTGTCTTGTTCTGATGTTAGAATAAAAACTTTGTTTTTATTCCCATTGACTATGTTAGTTTTGGGGTTTTTTTAATACAGCTTTTATTATGAAGTGGGCCCCTTCTAGTCCTAGTTTGTTAACTGTTACTTATTATGAAAGGATTGATGAATTCTGTCAAACACTTTTGTACCAATTGAAATAATCTTGTCCCCTCCACCCTTTTAGTCTGTAAAGTGGTATATCACATTGATGAATTTTTATATGTTGAACCATCTTTGCATTCCAAGAATAACTCCCACTTGGTCATGGTGTAGAATACTTTTTGTATGCTGTGGATTTGCTAGTATTTTGTTGAAGATAAGGTATTTTTGTCTGCAGTTGTGGTTTGTGGGTTTTGTTTTTTGTTGTTGTGCTTTGGATTTACAGTGATTCTTGCCTTATAGAATGAGCTAGGAAGTATTCCTTCCTCTTCGGTTATTTTTAAAAATTTGAAAAAGTAGGCCGGGGATTTAGCTCAGTGATTCCACTGCCTCCCTCGTAAGCACAAGGTCCCGAGTTCAATCCCCAGTACCAAAAATGACCTTTTCAGAAACCTTGGTCATACATGGTAGAATTTTTCAGTGAAGCCAGAAGGTCTAGGACTTTGCTGGGAGATTTAAAAATTTCTTTTTCTGTGTTTTGAGACAAGGTCTTGCTGCGTAGGCCAGGCTAGCTTTGAACTCACTATGTACCCCAGGCTGGCCATGAACCTAGCTATCCTTGTACTTCTGCCTTCTGAATGCTGGAATTACTAGCACGGGCCATCTCATCTGGCTTGTTGGGGGATTTTTTGATTACTTATTCGAGCTACTATTCTTTGATTGATATAGTTTTCATATATTTTCTCCCAATATATCTTTTTTCATCTTAACCATCTTTCACAGAGCAAAATGTTATAAATTTTGATGAAGTTCAGTAGATAAGTTTTTTCTTAATGGATTGTTCTTTTTGGTATTAAGTCTAAGAATTCTTTGCCTAGCTTTCAACCCCAAAGAATTTTTTCTAGAAATACTTTAAAAATTTTTGTGCTTTATATTCGCATTTGTGATCCATTTTGAGGCACCTTTTATGTTAGGTATGAGACCTACTATACTAGTTCAAGGTTGTTCTATTGTTTTTTATTTGTTTTTATATGTTCATTTGCTTCTGGACCAAGACAGTCTTTCCTCTCTTGAATTGCTTTCTTCCTCCTTTGTCACAATCATTTGAGCAATTTGTTTGGGTCTATTTCTAGGTGTTCTGTCCTCTTTCAGCCATCATTTGTGTCTGTTCCTTCACTAGCACTACACCGTCACGATTGTTATAGCCATATAGTCTTAACATTGGGTAGACGTAGTCCTCTCAGTTCATGTCTCTTTTTCAGAGTTCTTTCTAGCTTTATAGTTTCTTTGCCTTTGCTTATAAAGTTTAGAATGATCATGATTATATTTACCAAAAATCTAGCTGAGATTTTGGTGGGATAATGGTAGTTCTCTATATAAATTTGAGAATTGTTATCTTGACCTTGTTGATCCTCCAGTCCATCAGCAATACCGTATGTCTTCAATTTAAATTCCTTTAATAGCTTGCATCAGAGTGGTGTGGTTTTCCATATAGGTTCAGTCATTTTTTTTAAGATTTATACCTGAATATTCATTTTTAAAATGATTTGTACATTTACTATAGTCTTAGTGTTTATTCACTACTAGCATATAGAAATACAGTTGAATTTTGGATATTTATTTTACACTCTGTGATCTTCTCTCTCAATTCATTTATTAGTTCAAGGATACCCCCCCAACACCCCTCTCTTTTGGGGTCATTTCCTTGAGATTCCAAATAGTCACATCTTTTGCAGGTGGGGCAGTTTTTTGGGTGTTTTTTTTTTTCTATTTTTTATTTCTTCATTTTCAGCTTGTTGGCCTTCTAGTTGTTTGTTGACTCATTGTGCATTTATTCCATCACTATGTTGAGCAACAGTGGTGAGAGCAGACATCATTGCCTTGTTTTTCCTGTATTCTTATCCTGGGAAGCATTTGTCGTTAAAGTTAATGTTAGCTATAAGATTTTTACAGATATTCTTTATCAGGTCAAGGAAGTACTCCTCTATTCTGTTTTCTGAGCTTTTATTGTGAGTAATTATTGGATTTTGTGAGATACTTTCTGCTTCTGTTGACAGGATCATGTGGTTTTTCTTGAGTTATTTCTAGGATAGATCATATTGATTGGTGGTTATGCATTGAACCAGCTCTGTATCCTCGGGATAAATTCCCTACTTGGTCATGATTATACAGTCCTTTGTATGTGTTGCTCAGTTGTATAAATTTTTTTTGTGTGTGTGTGTACTAGAATTCAAACTCAGGACCTTCCACTTGCAAGTCAGGCAGCGGCACCACTGAGCTAAATCCCCGGGCCTATTTGCTAATAGTTTATTAAAAGATTTTTGTATCTATATTAAGGGTACTGTTTTGTACTCCCCCCCCCCTTTAGTATCTGGTTTTATTTTACTTATTTGAGGAAAAGGGCAGCGTCTCGATATGTACTTCAGACTGGCCTGGAACTCAGGCCGTGTGGCCCACGCTGTTCTCCAACTTGCAACCTTCCTAAGTCTCCAAAGTACTGGAATTAATTTAGGTTAATATTTACTTTATAAACTGAAATAGGAAGTACCCTCCCCTTTGTTTTCTTGAAGAAATTATACTAAAATTGGTTTAAATGTTTATTGGAATTCTCCAGTGAAACTTTCTAAATATTTTGCGGGGGGGGAATTTTAAATTATAAACTTAATTTCCTCAATAGATACATATAAAGACATGTAAATTATTTGTTTATGTGTGTGTGAGTTAAGGCAATTACTGCCTTTTTTTTTTGGTACCAGGGAATGAACTCAGGACCTTGCACTTGTAAGGCAGGCATGGTGCCGCTGAGCTAAAACCCCATCCCAATTTCTACTTTGTGACAAAATACATCTTCTTTTCATTGACCCTTCCTTTCCCATCTTGCCCTTTTTCCTCCTCTTGATCCTCTTCCCAGATAGATCTCTGGCTGCTATTTATTGTGTGAATACTTGAAAACAATGTATATTTTTTCTTTTTCGAGGAAAAATGTCAAATTATTTCTGTTATTTGATGGTTTTCATTTTTCCCTAATCTTGCTGATTTTCTGTTTGGTCTGCCAAATGTTGAACCAAAGGATAGTTTGCAGCTTATGGATTTGTCTGTTTTTTTCAATTCTCTCAGATCTTGTTTAACATATTTTGCCAGCTTTGCTGTTTGGTGCATACAGATATTTAAGTCCTATTTGTTGGTGAAGTAACCCTTTATTATTGTATAGTGTCTCTTTGTCTCTTGTAATTTTAATTGCTCTGATGTTTATCTACTAATCTAATGCTGATCTCATTTTTTTTGCTCTAATATCTACTAATGTAACTTTCTTTTCATTAATATTCACATGAGTTATCTTTGCATTTCCTTTAACTTTCTTGTGTATTGGAGTAACTTCCTAGTAGCCCATGGAGTTAAGTCCCAATAACCCCATCATATGTGCATCAAAAATGCTCTTTATGTACTTAACTTGCTGAGTGTTATGGCTTACCAATACAATGCTGGGACCACACTGTAGTGTGGGTTTTACACACTGTTATCACAAGGCTGACTAGTGCTGTCTTGCCATTGTTGTCCAGCATGGAAAGAGTAGAGTACTGCATAGTGTTAACTGGGAAAAGGTCAGAATTTGAAGTGTGGTTTCTATCAAGTGTGCGTTGTGTTCGTGCCACTATAACATCAAAAAATCCTAAGACAGACTCCATCCATGTCAGGGAGAAGAAAGGAAACTAGGGGAATTCATGCACATGCCAGTTTTCATCAGAGAGGCTCCTTAGTAATTCTGCCTTCTTCACTTTTTGTTTATTTTATGTATAAATGTCCATGCTTTTTAGTTGTACTTGGCAGAAAGCATAGGGAAAAGTACATCTACTCCATATTTCTGAAATGGAAGTCCTAAGGCTTTATTTTTTGCCAAATAATAATTGCTTAGGTCATATAATCAGTGTTTAGTAAATATTTGTTGAATGGATTAATTAATATTTTATTGATCAGAATGCTTTGTTAATTAAATATACAAAATGCTTGAGTATTTCTTCTTGTAAAACATCTAGAGAACATTAATTTTTCCCCAAGGCCGGATTTAGTGCTATCTAGGTAAGTAGCAATCTTAGCTTAATTGATTATGGTTTATATATAGTCTTACCTTCACTCATCTCTGACAGAATATAAATAATGGAAAATATGTTCAGCTGGAACATATTTATACTCTGTATGCCTAGGTATTCTATTAGTTAGAAGCCTGTTCACTAACCATGGAGGTTAATTAAGATACTGTAAAATTTTTATGATGATCAGATGCAGGGAATTTTGTTTTGTTTTTGAATTTTTTTGTTTGTTTTTAGAACCTGAAAGGATTGTCATAGCCCTTCTGTTTGATTGGTGGTCTTGTAGGTCCCTTCAATAATCAGGAGATGGCCGAGTGGTTTCAGGCAGGCTACTTCACAATGTCTTTGCTGGTGAAGAGAGCATGCGATGAAAGCTTCCAGCCTCTTGGTGACATCATGAAAATGTGGGGAAGGGTTCCCTTCTCTCCCGGCCCAGCTCCCCCTCCTCATATGGTGAGTGCCTTCTCCACCAGCTTGGGATATGTGCTAGATGTAGGGACACTTGGTCCTCTTAGAAAGTAATTGAAATGTATTAGGATGGGGGAAGGGATGTGAATGGGAGGATAAGTACCAAGCTGTAATAACCTTTTCAAATTCATTCCTGTTCTCTCCCAGTCTTTCTCCCTCTCCCTCCATCCTGGCCCCCCTCCTCTCTTACACACACACACACACACACACACACACACACACTTCAGTAGCTTTTTAGTAGCTGTAGAATGAAGGCCAGTATTTTATTCTGACCCCCCCACCAGGTCCTGCATGGTCTGGCTTTTTTCCTAAGTGTATATCAGAGCTTTTACCTGTATTTACCTACTGTGCTTCAATATAGCTGGTCTCTTTCAGTTCTTTACTACTAGTAATTAGACTACACATTCTTTTACTTCAGTTTGCCTCTTGTTTTCTTTTCCTTTTTTTTTGAGACAGGGTCTCACTATGTAGTTGAGACTGACCTGGAACTCACTGTGTAGTCCAGGCTGGTCTCAAACTCACAGGTTTACCTTAAAGTTTCTAGTGCTTCAGGATATTTTAAGGACTTAAACTTTTGACCTTTCTTTTGAATTTGCTCCCCACCTCTCCCAGTAGAGTTCCTTTTGGAGGTCTCTAAACATCTACCTCCCCTTGTGTCTCCAAGTTGAAGTGAGTGATGGCTTAGTAATCACTGTCAAAAAGCCTTTAGTATGGTGCAGGCCTATAATCCTGTCACTTGGGAGGCTTAGGCAAGAGTATTACCATAAGTTCAAGGCCACCCTGGACTACATATAGACATTGTTTAAAAATACCTTCATTGCAAACACTTTTTCTACAGTTATACATCCCTCTAACTGATTTTATCAACTGTACCTTGAGGGCCTGTGCTAGGCCTTGTGATAAGTACTTCTGAGATGAAGATAAGACTTAGCCTCTTGTAGTCATGGGAGTTTATACATGAGCACAGCGGCCATACACTTTCTTTTCCATGTCTCATAGGTGAGACATAGGTGAGGAGAAGTATTACTCCTGATAGTCTCCTAGTTGTTTTAAGTCCAAAGAAAAATTTTACTATGTTTTTTTTGGGGTACCGGGGATTGAACTCGGGTCCTTGCGCTTGCAAGGCAGGCCACCAAACCGCTGAGCTAAATCCCCGGCCCTTACTATGTATTTTTGATTATAGATTTAACATGTATACCATGTTCAAGCATTATTTCTCTTCCCTGAAATTGAGGTTTCATGTGTGGGGAGCCAAAGCTCATAAATTGGATCTTGGCATTCTTGTTCCAGTCCATTTCTTAACTTCCCATGTAAATTAGCATCAGTCATACCCGCTTATGGGGATATTTTGGAAAGCTGTCTCCTTTCAGCTGTTACCTTTGCACCAAGTAACACTGGAAAGAAGAAAGCTCACTTTCATGAGGAATATTCCTTAAAATCTAGCTTTTCATGTAGGAGATATTTTTTGTTTGTTTGTTTTGTTTTGGAGAAAAGCGCCTTTGTTTCAGGCGAGGGTTAACTTGCTTTGTAGCTCAGGCTGGCCTCAAACTTGTAATCTTCCTGCTTCACATTGAGCCTCTTGAGTGCTGGGATGATAGTTGTGCACCACCATACCTCACTCATAGATTGACCTGGGGTAGCTATTACCCTGCAATTACTTAATAAGAAAGAACGAGTTTAAGGTGAAATTCCTCTCCAAGATGTATATCAAAATATTTTGTTTTAAAATACAAACAGTGTATATAGTACAAGAAAGATACAAACTGTATGCTCTCAATTTGCCCAAGTTAAGTCCACATCATCTTACACTTTTGTTATTTTACACTTCACATTTCTGTTTTGCAGTGTTAACTTATCAAGATTTAAATTCCAGTCATATTATTTGAAATACAAGGGTATAAGGTAAAATTGTAGGGTTTTACTACAGCTTATTTTTTCTAACTCATGATATATTAATAGCAATGGAAAGTCCTATTTTGGGGTAGAGCAGTAATTTTCAAAGCTCTTCATATTCTCAGTACCTTTGGATACACTTAGGCATAGTGGCTTCCTTTGTTAATTTTGTGCCCTTGCAGAATTCTTAATAATAGCTCCATTGACCTTTAGGTAAATTTTACTCCTATCTGTGTGGTCTGTTTCTCTAATTTCTACATGATTTCCAAAGTTACAAATCACTTTTAGATTGGGAATAGGTATGTACAGTTTTTTTTTTTTTTAATACAGTAAGAACTGGCATGTACTTCCAGTAACCAGCTTGAAAGGCTGCAGTGGAGGCAGCAGTTCACAATTTGGGCAGGAGTGGTGTGGGAGGTGCTTACATTTGTAGATACTAAGTGGCTTTTAAGTCTTTGCAGTTTTAATATTTAGTGGTTTTCTTTCTACACTTCTTCACTCACAGGGGGAGTTGGACCAGGAAAGACTGACCAGGCAGCAGGAACTCACGGCCTTATACCAGATGCAGCACCTCCAGTACCAACAGTTCTTAATACAGTAAGGACAGTGATTCGTAGGATGAGTGCAGTACCAGAGGAGCTTTTGAGAGATTGCTCGTGAGGTTCATCTTGCAGCAGAAAGCAGAAGGCTTACACGAGACTGTGCTGTACCAGGGAGTGGGTGGGGTGTTTGTTAACTGGGCATTAAACCCAGGCCCTTTGTTCTCTGTTACATTCCTAGCTCTTATTTTTTATCATGAGATGGTTTCACTAAGTAACTAAATTGCCCCGGCCTGGCTCAAACTTGGGTCTTCCTGCTTCAGCCTCCTAGAATGCTGAGATTGCAGGTATGTGTCACCATGCCTTTGTAACAGCTATGGATTCTAATTTAGTCTTATTTTACTTCTTGAATATCAGAAGTTTTCAGATTATGACACATAAAAAGGAAGAGCAACGAACATTTGATAGTTGAAGTGCTTTCTAAGGGGCTAAGCTTTCGACACTCAGAGAAAACACATAGGCAAGAAGATGGGAAGAAATAAATGTTTACACTGTTAGGAGTGGTGCAGAAGGATGGAAGCATCACTCAGGTGTGTGTCTCTTTCATAGAAGTAAGATTCACTTTGGTGCCAAGGTTGGCAAAGTCTGGGGATGTTCTCCATTTGTTTTCGTAATGAAAGTGTTATTAGATTACAAGACGCACCCATGTTTGTACAGATTGCCTGTAGACTGTATAGCCTACAAAGCTGAAAATATTTACTCTGGCTCTTTTCAGATATAGTGAAAAAAAATTACCTAAAAATTTCCAAGTTGAAGCTGGGCATGTTGTGCCTGTAATCCTAGCCACGGAGAAGCGCAGAGTAGGAGAGTTGGAAGTTTGAGTCACACCCAGGGCAACTTAGTGAATCCTGTGTCAAATTGAATAAATAATGGCTGGGAATGTACTCAGTGATACAGTGCTCCTGGGTTTGGATACTACCCCGCCCCAACATCTGAGTTGAAACATAAATTGGAAATTTTTTATAGAAGTGGTTTTATTTTTTCAGTGGCTGCTTCAATTATAGATAGCTGTCCCAATCTGTTTTACTTTTTGCTTACAATTTGGTAAAGCACTTACTACCTTGAGAGCATTTGCCAGTTTTTGACATTTTGTGACATTCTTTTACTCAGAAGTATGTCCATTAGTTCAGTTCTTTCTAGAATGAAATACAGAATTTTCTTTGTGACAGTTATCATCATGGAAAATTATAAAATGTATTTGATTGGTATTACTAGTGGTTCCTGGGTGGTGATGAACTAAACTTCGCTTTTAGTGCCTCATTCCAGTGAACTAAGTATGGATAGATCAGGTTATACTTTTTTCTCCCCCCAACTTTTTGAAGACAACAGTATGCACAGGTTTTGGCTCAACAGCAGAAAGCAGCCTTGCCATCCCAGCAGCAACAACAGTTGACCATTCTTCTACAACAGTTCCAGGCTCTGAAAATGAGGTTAGTGGTCCCTCGATTATGTGTCACCTTTTGTATGTGTGCTGTGGACGTGTGCACAAAACAGAAGAAAGGAATTTTAGTATAATGTGTTAATTCTGCTATTGGAATGCTCATAAAGAGCACATATTTGCATGTTATTTGTGAAAACAGTATTGTTCTTAAAAAATAATTTAGCTGAAGTCAAGCATTTATTGGGTCATTTTACTGATAGAAGATACAGTTTGAATAATGAACACTTTTGAGAAGTAGTGCAGTTTTAGGGATCCTGTATCAAAACAATTATAGTCTAGAATTTTTATCATTTTCACCTGTGATATCTTAAAAAAGACATTAATAATGTTTGTCGGGTTATGATTTTCTGGAACCCAGAAATGGTTAGGGTAGGCCTAAGGAAAAGAAAAGTGTTCAGAAAATCTTGTTTCTGCTGCGTCAGATTATCATTCAAAATATTTGTCCTAGCTTCTGAAGATGTGCCAGTCACTGCTCTCAAAACCCTACTGTGCAGTAATCAAAAGGATTCACATTTATCATTTTAGCTTTAACCCAGAGGCACACAGGTTAGTGGTAGGGTCTGTGTTTTAAAGACTGGCAGATGGAGACCTGAGAGGCTAAAGGGCTTGGCTAACCTGACACATGGAAAATTTCAGAGATAGTTAAGTGTACACATTGTTGTTATTGTTGTTATTGTGATAGTGCCCTGTGACTTCTATTGAGATAACCTGGGGTTTTTTTAAACAACAGGTACAACTATCGTTTAGAAATGAGCATTTGCTAATACCATAGAAGATTCCAGAAGTGTGATCACTTTGCCTCTATTTTTGTTACTTTTTTCTTTGGTGGTGTTAGGTTATATTTAAAACGATGAAAGACTTTTCTGGCCAAATAACTTGGGAAAACCTACAAGTAGCCTAGAAATTCCTGTCTTAACTTTTGTAAATTACAAGAACATGTTAATTTTTTTATTTCCCTTTTGCAGAATATCTGATCAGAGCATCATTCCCTCAGTAACTAGGTCTGTGTCAGTACCAGATACTGGCTCTATCTGGGAGCTTCAGCCAGCAACCTCACAGCCAACAGGTAACAATTTAGGTTGGCCTTCAGTATAACTCCAATGGTTAGAGTATAATAACAATTTAGTGATGCAGTTTTTGGAAACTTTAGCAGGGATTTTCACCTATTTTTATATTGAATATTAGCAAAAGGTTTCATTATTAGTAGATCTCAGCAAAAGATTAAAAGTATTATTAAAAATACACTGCTTAGGAACCAGGGATTTAGCTCAGTGGTACCACCACCTGCCTTGCAAACTCATAAAGTCCAGAGTTTGACCCCCGGTACTAAAAAAAAAAAATACAATGCTAAGGATTTTGTAGAAACTACTTAAGTATATAAGCTTCTTGAGTTTTGGGTCAGCTTCTCTTTTTATGTTCCCCTAACCAGTGTGGAAAAGTCCTTAGTTTTTGGTCTCCAACCAGAGTTTAAAAAAAAAAAGGATAAGTAGGACACCAATCTCTCCTCTTGAGTTAGGGATTGATATACATGTTGACACTGCAGGTGTCTGGTATTTTTGGGAAGAGAGAGCCTGCCTTGAAATGAACACCTTTATCAGTTAGTCTCTGATTTTCATCATTCAGAAAGTTTGAGGTTTGGACTTCTAAAATTTGAAGTCCTGATATTAGTGGAACAAGCATTTCTGTTTTTTAAGGTCTGATACATAGACTAGGTGGGGAGTTTGAATGAAGAGTAATCCTTAGAAGAGATATTTGTTGATGTTAGAAATTCTCAAGAACCATAGACGGGGATGTTTTCTTAGTTATTGACCCATGAAGCCATAGTTCTTTTAGTTTAATCCTGCAGATTATGGCAGTGGTAGGACTGATTGTCCTTCTTCACAGATCTTCCGTACTATATGCACCTTATTTTTTTCATGGCAGCCAGTTATATTTAGGATGTTAACACATTCTTCAGTGTTTTGGAAACTAAGAATATATTAAACAATTTCTCTATTTTGGTTTGTATGTCATCAGTCTTTTAAATCAGCCATTGGTTTTATACAGACAATATTTAGTAGTGCATAAAATACATTGTAATAGGAGTGTAGAAAATAGAGACTGATGAAAAGTGGTGTCAACAAACCTTGCTGGTAATAGGAACATGGACTCAAAAGGTTCAATGTATTTGTTCCCATACCTGACCCTGGGCTGCTGCCTTTTAGGTTAGCAAAACCAAGTGTCTTAAGAATTCTTCCCAGCCTTTCCAGGCTTCTCCAGCTCCAGCTGTGGGGCACGTGATCTATGGCTTTATTAGGATGAATTTCACATTATAACACCCCCTCTTTTGGTTTTTTGAGACAGGGTCTTGCTATTCAGGCTGTTCTTCAGCTCACTACATAGCTCAGGCTAGCCTCAAACTCACAGCAGTCCTCCTGCCTCTGTCTCCCAAGTGCTGATATAAGAGCCATGTGCCACCACACCCAGTACATTAAAACCATTTTTAAGTGAACACTTCAGTGTCATTTAATTATAGTCACAGTGTGCATCTAGTTGTCTCTGTCTGGTGTTCAGTGAGTGACCATATGGCTACTGGAAAGCAGTGGGTGTTGGAGTCTCATATGCTGCTGTTGAAATCCTGGCATGGCCACATACATGCTTACCCTGTGTCCTTGGGAGTTTTCAAACTAGTTTGTTGATCTGTAAAGATAAATATATTAACAGATGCCTTTATGAATCTTTTGAAGGATGAAATCAATTTCCCAGTAAATGCCTATTGCTTCCTTTCTTTGTAGAGAAGTATATTGATAGAAAAGGGAGCCCCTTGGTAGTTCTGTCTACTTAAAGTGAAATATAGATGTATATGATATGTGTTCAGGCCCAGAGAAGCAGCTTTTTTCATTATGCTAGAGGGCGTGTGACCATGTGTGTAAACTCTGCCCTTCACTTTTTTCCTTTGTCTTACAGTTTGGGAAGGTGGTAGTGTATGGGATCTTCCTCTGGACACCACAACACCAGCCCCTGCCCTGGAACAGCTTCAGCAGCTAGAAAAGGCCAAAGCTGCAAAGGTCTGAAATTCATTCTTTTATGGCAGTGCATAATTTCTAGATGCAGGACATAGCACTTCTATTTAGTCCTCTCGCTCTGGGTAGCTGTACAGTAGTACCTTGGTTCAGGAGTTTAATTTATTCCACAATTCTAGAAAAAATGTCTGCATTCGTGTTTGTACAGGAAAGATGGCCACAGTTATGTTTGTCAACCAATGCAGAGTTTGCAAACAGAAACAAAATTTTACCAAATGCTTTGGTTTGCTAACCAAATTGTTCATGAGCCAGGCGTGGTGGCGCACACCTGTAATCCCAGAACTTGGGAGGTTGAGGCAGGAGGATCGCTGTGAGTTCAAGACCAGACTGGGCTACATAGTGAGTCCCAGGTCAGTCTCAACTACATAGTGAAACCCTGTTTCAAACAAAAAACCCCAAATTGTTCATAAACAAAAGTATTGGTGAACCAAGGGACCACTGTACTTTTTGTTTCCATTTACTGATTTACTTGGTATAAATATATTCATATTTTATCCTTATTGTATCTCCTCTCAAAAAAAGACCGCAAAAGAGAATTCAAATTAATGAGTGATGATTTTAGTTGAATCATTAATGATTGTTTTAGTTATATTGTTCATGAAATTTACATTTGTTGCAAGTAGTAAGACTGAGAAAATATCCACCACTGATCCGTAGCTTGAGTTTCCACAGTAAATCTTATCCCAAACATGAAAGCTAAAAGCCTAGCCTTACCATTGGAATCTGTGTTCATATGTCTTTTCTGGAGAAAGTAGGGATATTGAAGCTTGATTTTAGTACTTGTCAGAGGAGGATTTCTGTACCAACACCTGGTGTGGTGTGATTATGATTTCTGGGTTCTCATGCCTCTGAAGGAGTCTTGTTTCTGTTTTACACTTACTGGAGTCTCTCTGAGGTAGTGATGGTCTTTAGAGTGCCCACAATGTGAAAAGGTTCATGATGAGGATCTGTTTCCATAAATTTGTGAGTTCATAATTCATAATAGTTCTTGAGTTTTTTGGTGGGAAACATATAGATGATAAATATTAGGATCATTCAGGAGTTTGCAGCCTTGTGTGTGGGGGCAAGGAGACAGACAAGGAGCACTTGACAGGATAGTCCGCTACCCAAATGAAGAGAGAGGGATCAAGAACAGGGTGCCATCTTTGATAGACAGTAATAACCTAGCTAATTTTCACTTGAAGGAGTTAGTAGGACTTAGCATGGTTGACAGAGCGGGGTTGACAGAATCCAAGGAGGTAAAAAGTTTGCAGTTGAAGGAAGAGTAGTGCTAGAAATGGTTTAGAAATGCATAAAGAAAATGCTGCACTCTGGAAACAGCCACATCAATATGTCTGACTTGGAGTCGCTGTGTATCTGACAAATAAAAGATGAGAGGAGCCTAAAGATGAGACCAGCCAGTCACAAGGATGCCATAAACATACCGTGTTAAGGAGGCAGAGCTTCTTCAAGGTGAAGAGTGCTGCCAAGTGTAAGCGTAGGAGTGATATCTTTTGGTAAGGATTAGATTTTGAGCCGACGAACACAAGTGGAGCTAGAGGAAAAGTGGGTAAGAGACTTAGAAATGTGGGTGAAGGCAGTGAAGGCCTGAACTATAACTGTGGCAGTGGGACTGAAGAGTAGGTGCTGGATTTGACCAGTACTGGGAATGGTAAATGAAAGTTTGCTAAGTGATTAGTTTTCAAATTTTAAAGAACTGTATAATTTTACAGACTAGCAGCTTTACAACATAGCTGTTGAGACCTTGTAGCTGCACTATTAGATCTTCAGTCAGGAAATGCTTCGTAGGGATGAGTAAAGAGATACCAGACACACCACCTCCTGAAGAATTTTTATGTTGATCCTATACTGGCCACTTTCCATCCTGTGTCTACATGTGTGTGATTTATTATGGAGTGAGGAGGTGCCAAAATGAAGAGCAAAGTGTGTTCAGTTTGGAATATAAAGCTCTTGTGACTGCCTTGACATGACAGAGCTGGGCTGAATATCGGGTTTCATGACCCAGATGGAGCACAAGTAACAATGAATGGCAGTTCCTGTACTTCTCAGCCTCTCCAACAGTACTAGCAGCTCAGTGCTTTTGGGTGATTCCATGGTTGGTTTTAAGAATACTCTCATGTTGTCCCAGTTAGAGCAGGAGAGAAGAGAGGCAGAAATAAGGGCAAAACGGGAAGAGGAGGAAAGGAAGAGGCAAGAAGAGCTCCGGAGACAGCAGGAGGAAATTCTTCGGAGGCAGCAGGAAGAAGAGCGGAAAAGGAGGGAGGAAGAAGAGCTTGCCCGAAGGAAACAGGTATTGCTTTGGAAACTCTGCCGTAAGAGTAGTACCTGGCTTGGGACTTAGGTGATCTTCTCACTTCTGTATCAAGATCAACAGAATTGGGATTACAACCTTCAGAAGACTCACCTGGCTTTAGAAAGAACCTCCTGTTTCCGACCAGTTCCCACTGGGAGGGGTATTTTTCGTTGTTAGAATTGATTTTCTTTGCAGTTTCCTATATTTTATATAACCAGGCCAGGCCTGGTGGCTCATACCTATAGTCCCAGCACTTGGGAGACAAAGGCAGGAGATTGCCACGAGTTTTAGGCCAGCCTGGACTACATTAAGAGTTCAGGGCCAGCCTGACCTACAAAGTGAGACTCTGTCTCAACACCTGCCCCCCCATTAAAAATAAACCAGCTAGATAAATTTCTGTCCTTATTGCTAAAAACATGAGGAAATAATTTTGGTGCACAGCATTACATTTTTTTTTAAAAGTCAAATGAGCTTTCAAGAAAAAAAGTCTGATAACTTAACATATGCCATACAATTTACCATCTTAACCATTTTAAGTGTGCATACTACAAAGTACTGAAACTGTTTACCTATTAAAGAGCCCAGTCTCTCCTTCCCTAGGCTTTGGTTTCTTCTGTCTCTATGAATTTGACTCCTCTGGGTACCTGATAGAGATGGACTCATACTGTATTTATATTTGTCTTTTTGTGACTGGCTTGTTTTACTTAAGATTCCATATTGTAGCGTATCAGGATTTCTTTCCTTTTTAAGGATGAATAATACTCTTATATGTAGTTGCTGCATTTTTGTTTAGCCATTCATCTGTTGATAGATACTTGTATAATTTCCACACTTCGGCTATTGTGAATTACATTGCTATGAACATGGGTATACAGATACCTGTTTGAATCCTTACTTTCAGTTCTTTTGGGCATATACCCAGAAGTTAAATTGTTAAATCACATGCTAATTAAAGTTTTTAATTTTTATTTATTTATTTTTTATGGTTTTTTGAGACAGGGTCTCACTATGTACTCGAGACTGACCTGGAACTCACTCTGTAGCCTAGACTGGTCTGGAACTCACTGCAGTTCTCCTGCCTCAGCCTCACGAGTGCTGGGATTACAGGCGTGTGCCACCACACCCGACTATTTTTTTTTTTTTTTTTTTGAGGAACCATCATGCTTGTTTTCCACAGGTGCTGCACCGTTTTACATTCTCTCTTAACAGTACACAAGCGTTCCAATATCTCCACATCCCTGTCAACATTTTTTTTTCTTAATTGTTCTTTGTGTGTGTGTGTGCTGGGGATTGAACTTGGGACCTTGCGCTTGCAAGGCAGGCCACCAAACCGCTGAGCTAAATCCCTGGCCCCTTAATTGTTTTTTAATAATGGCTTTTCTAGGGCTGGGAATTTACCTCAGTGGCACTGCACCTGCTTCACAAGTGCAAGGTCCTGTACCCACACACACACACAAAAAAAAGTTTTGCTACTGGGTATGATGTGATATCTCATTATAGTTTTGATTTTCATTTCCCTAATAATTACTGATGTTGAAAATCTTTTCATGTGCTTACTATTCTAGTATATAGAATTTTTTTTTTTTTTTTTGGTACCAGGGATTGAACTTGGGTCCTTGCACTTGCAAAGCAGGCACCAGAACCACGGAACTAAATTCCTGGCCCTAATATATAGTTCTTTTACAAATGCATTTATCTTCACTTAAGGCATCTGCCCTCTGTTCTTTTCCTAAACGAACCTTTATTTCTGTTTCAGTGATTATTGTTTGAAAATAGGGAGAAAACACTCTGCAGTTATATTCAGCCATCCCTTGACACCTGCAGGGGCTTCTTTCCAGGATACCCACAGACAGCAACATCCACAGAGGCTCAGAGTCCTCATGTAAATGATGTGGTGTTTCCATAAAACCTGTGCATATTTCCTTCATATTTTAATCATCTGTAGATGTCTTGTAATAATTTAAATGTCATGTATAAAGCACTGATGTACCATATTTTTTAAAGGAAACAGTGACTAGGAAAAAGGCCTACATGTTTCGTACAGGCACAATTTTTGTTTTCCAAATATTTTCAGTCTGTGATTGGTTGAACCTACAGATAGAGGGAGCTGACTATATGCTTTTTCAAAAGTATGTGTCATTTGTACCTAATATTTTACAACTTCCCTTTTGACATTGATGAATCCTATCATCTTTCTATGTCAAATAGACATCTAACAATCTATGTCATATTTGCTAGCTAAAAGAAATTTTATCTTCTAAGTTACAGTAATTCAGCATATTTATTATTGTTGGACGTGAGGCTTTTCCCCACTTTTTTATTGTTGTTATCGTTTGTTGGTTGGTTTGGTTTGATTTTTTTTGAGACAGAATCTTGCTGTGCAGTTCAGACTGTTCTTGAACTTACTATGTAGCCCAGGCTCACTTTGAACGCATGGGAATCCTTTTGCCTCAGCTTCCTGAGTACTGTTCCTAGCTATTTATACAAGTGTTTTATATATGAGTGTTTTGATGAAAATTTTCACAGCTAAGTATTTAGATATTTTTAACCATTGAGGTTTACTATTTTTCTTTTGTTTTTGTTTTTTTATTTGGGGGGGAATTCACTGTTCATATGCTTGATTTCTTTTACTGTTGTAGTTTTTATAGATTCCAGTGAAAATAATTCATTCTCTATTGGCCTCAAAGTCTAACCTTTACTCTATTGACCCTAATAAATATTCTATGGAAAACAGAAGGATTCATGCTGAGATACGAACCATTTGACATTTGTTAGGGTTACACAGCGCATCAGTATAAAAAGGCTGTAAACTGCGTTGCAGTATGCTCAGGAATTCCTAAATGATATCAACAATAGGATTTGTTTATGTGTTGTACTTAATAATTTTGGTGGGATTTCTGTTCTTTAGAACATGTTCTGGGACACATGGTTTCCTCAGTACTTGTGACTGACAGAACTTATTCTTACCTAACCAGGAGTTTTTGATAGCCTTGTTGATTTGACCTCTTTATGCTTTAGACTCCCAGTTAATTAAAAAATAGGGTTGAAAGTACTGATGGAGAAACCAAAGCCTAAGTTCTAATGTAAGCCTCCTCTGTGGTTAACATGCTTCTGCCAGTTGAAACATGTCTGTCCCATCAGGCAGTTTGTACCACTGGTTGTACAGACAGATCTAATCACTTTTGTGTGTCTTCTTTGTTTTTCTTTGGTACTGGAGATTGAACTCGGTTCCTTGAGCTTGTAAGGCAGGTGCCAGAACCACTGAGCTAAATCCCCAGCCATCTGTCTTCTTATTAATAAAGTTGACACAAAAATCCACCCGATAATCATGAATGTATCACAGGTGGTTCAACCCACCCAGCAGTGAGACTTACAAATTACAGCCCAGTTGTGAACGTGTTAATCCTTAAATGATGAAGCCAATAAAAACATCTGGATAGACTTGATGATGTGTTGCAATATACTCATATTTTAAATATAATTTCTAAGAAAATTCCTAATGTGTCTACTTCCCCAGCTCACATACTTTTTATATTTACTGTTTACATACTTAGCAGCACATAATCTTTCTCTTTTCAGATTATAGTGTAATATATTGACTAGTAGGGCTAAAATATCACATCCCCACTCCCTGTCTTTTTTCCCTTCAGGAAGAGGCTCTGCGTCGCCAGAGGGAGCAAGAAATTGCATTAAGACGACAGCGAGAAGAAGAAGAAAGACAGCAGCAAGAAGAAGCTCTTAGAAGACTGGAAGAAAGGAGAAGAGAAGAGGAAGAAAGGCGGAAACAGGAGGAATTGTTAAGGAAACAGGTAGCCAGATGTTTGCTCTTCTCATTGCTTCTTTGAAACTAGGAATTGTACTTAGGATGTTAAGATAGTGTATCTAAAAACTTGCCAGGTTCCTGAAAATTACCAGGAGAAACCTAACAAGCTTTTGACAGTTTTAGTTACCTTTCTTATTGCTGAGACAAAATATTCAACATCCAAAATTAAACAAGGAAAGTTTTGCTTTGACTTGCAGTTTGTAGAGGTTTCAGTCCATATAGGTGGCTGGCTCCAAGGCAAGGAAGCATGGCAGAGGGACATCACAGAGGAGAAACAACAGTTCATGGCATGCAAAACAGGAGGCAGCAGAAGCAGCTGGTCCTCTTTCTGACCCTTTATATTTCATCCAGGGTACCCACCCTTGGGGCAGTGCCACTCACAACCAGGATGGGGAGGGCCTGAGTTCAATCCCTGGTACCAAAAACCAAAAACAACCAGGATGGGGTGCCCTTCATTCTAGCATCATAACCTTTCTTTGGGGTAGGGGACTGAGACAGGGTTTTATGTGTACTGAGGTTGGCCTTGAACTCATTATGTAGCCCAAGCTGGCTTGAATTTGAAGCAGTCCTCCTGCCTCAGCCTCCAAGTGCTGGGATTACAGAGGTGCTCCACCATGTCTGGCAATACACCCTTAATCCTAGTATCACACCTTAAGTCCAGAAAACTCTAAAAAGCCCCTCCCATGAGTGTATGAAACTTTTGAGGGATATCTAGATACTAGCCATAAGAGTTACTTATCTCTAATTATTTTTTCCCCTCTAATGGAAATCTGTTTTCTGGGCATGGTGGCTCATATGTGTAATTGCAGCATTTTGGGAGGCTGAATCGGAAAGATCCTGTTTGAGCCCAACCAGTGCACTTAGAAATTTAAAGATGTTCTGCCTCAAAACATAAGAAAGGTCTGAGGATACAGCTCAGTGCAAAGGCTCTGGGTTCAATCCTCAGTACAGGAAGGAAAAGAGAAACCTCTTTTCTTTTTGTTGGGGGTGGCATTTAGAATCTTTCTTGGTTTTGCTCACTTCTATGGTGAAAATAAAATGAGTGGGTGTTTGGTTTTAGCTAGTTTTCAGACTTAACACAGAATGAATAGAATAATAGTACACCAAATTCCAATAAATCTCCCAGTTTTAATGATTTATAATGTAACGATTTTTGTGTTCAATGTCAGGTGAAGATCTGATTTCATTTTTCCACATGTGAATATCCAGTTTTACCCAGCACCATTTTTTGAAGGGACTGTCCTTTCCCCAGTTGTGTGTTTTTGACGTCTTTATTGAAAATTAACTGAGTGTAAATCATGGATTTATTTTTAGGTTTTTCTAATCTTTTCCTTTTGTAGCTTTGAAATACTTAACGTTTTAATTTTGGTAATATCTAATTTATTTTTCCTTACAATTTAACTTTAGCTCTTTTGGGTGTGGATTCCTTATATTTTGAGTACATGTGCTTTGTTAAATAAATGTTTTATGAATATTTTGCCCCAGGCTGTGACTTGTCTATAAATCTTCTTAGTGGCTTACTCCCCGACCATCACCCACCCTGGAGTACTGGGGATTAGAACCAGGGCCTTTTTACTGAGCAATATTCCCAGCCTTATTTTTATTTTTCATCGTTGAAGTGTTTCACTGAGTTGCCTAGAATGGCCTCAAACTTGGGATCTCCCTGCCTCTGCCTCCTAGAGTCCCAGAATATTGATATTATATATGCTAATATATCTGGTTAGTGACAAATTCGATGAACAGCAGAGATTTCTAATTCTGATGATTTTTTTTTCTTTTCTTTTTTTTTTTTAAGTGGTGCTGAAGACTGAATCTAAGGCTTTGTGCACACTAAGCTATGTCCTCAGCCTAGTTTTTGTTTGTTTCATTTTTGTTGTTTTTCCTTCTTTCTAAAATATTGTTATATACTCGCAGGTCATTAAAATGTCTCCTGTTATTTTTCTGAAAGCATTATTGTTTTAGTTTTAAAAGTAAGTTTCAATTGGGTGTGTGTGTGTGTGTGTGTGTGTGTGTGTGTGTGTGTATGTGTGATATGAGGAATGGGTTATTCCAGCACCAATTTTTGGGGTGGCTGTGTGTGTATGTGTGTGTGATATGAGGAATGGGTTATTCCAGCCCCAGTTTTTGGGGTGTGTGTGTATGTGTGTGTGTGTGTGTGTGTGTGTGATATGAGGAATGGGTTATTCCAGCACCAGTTTTTGTAATCCTTCCTTCCTCTACTCAGAGTCTTTGGTCAGAATTAGTTGTATAAATAAGTTCTTTGGGGCACTTTTCTTTTCTTTCTTTTTTTTTGGGGGGTACTGAGGGTTGAACTTAGGACCTTGCTGTTGTAAGGCAGGTGCTGTGCCACTGAGCTAAATCCCTGGCTGGGACTTTTCTCTCATACCAATCATTCTGTCTGTATGCAGGTAAGGAACTGACTTGATTTCATAGTTTATAATGTCTTAAATTCAAGTTAGTATGTCTTCTAGCATTGCTCTTTATTTCAGACTGCTTAACTATCTTTTCTGCCATTACATTCATATTTAAAATCATATACTTAATTTCTTTGCAAATAAGAGCCTACTGTTATTATAAATAGGATTATAAGTCTATAAATTGAGGAGAGTTGGCATTTAAAATATATCTTCCAGTCCCTGAACATAGCACACTTTTCCATTTACTATATATTTTTCCTTAATTTTTCTCTATAACGTTCTGGTTGGTTGGTTGGTTTGCTTGCTTTTTTGTTTGATATTGCTTGTTTTTTATTGAGAGAAGGTCTCAGTGTGTAGTTTATGCTGGCCTTGAACTCATTATGTATCCTAGGCCAGCCTCAAATTCACAGCAGTCCTCTGGCTTCAGCCTCCCTGGTCTGGGATTACAGACATGCCACTACACACAGCTACATTCTTTTTTATAATAGAAGTTATGCACATCTTTGTTAAATCTTATTTTGAAGCTGTTGTTAATGAATTCTTGTTTTATGTTGATCCTATGTAGAAATATAATTTGGTTTTCATGTCTAGGTCTTGTATCTTGTAAAACTCATTTATGATTTATAATAGTATTTCAGTTGATGCCCTAGAATTTTCTCTGTGAGTAATTATCCCTTGGATGTACAGGTAGTTTTATTCTTCCTTCTAACCTTGAGTAGACGTGGACCTTGAACAGCCTTTTATTATAGGGAGAAAAAAAATTATATTGCTTCATCTTAAATATATCAAGAGTTTGGATGTGGCTCAGTGGTAGAAGATGAACTACGCTTACATAGGACCCTAGTTGAATTCCAAACAATTATCAGGCTGGGGATTTAGCCTAGTGGTGCTGCCATCTGCCTCACAAGCAATAATCTACCTGCCACCCAAAAATGTTAAAATTTTGGTAGTATCTGTTATCTGACCAAGGAAGTTCCAGTTTATTTCTATTTTGCTAAAGTCTTTATCATGGAAACTGAATTTGCCAAATATCTCATCTGCATTTATTGATGATAGTTTAGCTTTCTCATTTATTCTGTTCACATTCTGTCATATTGAGAGTTTTTCATGTTAAATTAACTTTGTGTTCCTGGATTACATTCTACTTGATGACATATTAACCTCATTTGTTACTATTTTGTTAAGGGTAATTTCATCTGTGTTCAAGAGAGATTTGGGTCTATAATTTTTTGAAGTTGTGGTTATACTTTGATGTTAGATTTATGATATTCTCTTAAAAGAAGTTGGAAAATGGTTTTTTGAGTATATATGGTGTATATAAGATTGATAGTACTTCATTGACTATTTGATGAAAGTCACCATTGAAACCAAATTTTTAAAATTATAATACAAATCAGAATTTTGTGTGTCATCAGTGTTTATAATCTGCATTTTCTAACTCAGTTGCAAAATTGAGTGGCACAAATCTAATCATTGTTATGTGTTTACCATTCCTTTTGTGCTTTTATGTGTGATCTACAGCAGTGGTCCCTCTTTACACATACTGGTAGTTTGTGCTTTTTGATTGACTTTGCCCTTTTATCAAATTGTATCTGTCTTTTAAAGAACTTACTTTTGGCTTTGTTGTTTCTTTTATCTTTTCATTGATTTTTGCTATAATTGCTACTATTTTCTCTTTTCTTACTTTCATCTTACCTTACTTGCCTTTTTGTAGTTAGTTTAAGATAGAAATTTAGATGGTATAAAATTTTTTCTAATAAATTTATAAAGCAGGAACTCACTATAAGCACTGTGTTAGCTCATCTCATGATTACTGATGTATTTTCATTCTGCTTTGGCCTATAGGTTTTTAATTTCTAAGCATCTGAGGGCCTTACCAGATAATCTTACTTGTATTCATTTCTACCCTAATTACATTGTATTCAGAGATTTTAGTCTGTAGGATTGGTGTTTTTAAATCTATTGATTCATTGTTTTTTTGGTTCAGAATATGGTTCTTTTGTCAAACCTTCCATGTGAATTTACAAAGACTGTATTTTCCTCAGTTATTTGGTGTTCTTTGAATGACAGATCAGATTAGTTGGTGGCATTGAAAGATTTTTTAAAAAATCTAGTTGTTTTATTAGTTGCCAAGAGAGGGATGCTAAGATTTCAAACTAGTTTTGGATTTGTGTGTTTCTTCCTTTACATTTGTATTTGTTTTTATATGGTTTGAAGCTGTCTTACTAGTTTCATACAAACCTGTGGGTTTGTATTGTCTTCTTGAACCTTTTAATGTTATGTCACTGTTAACCTCTGGTCATATTTCTTATCTTAAAAATCTAGTAGGGTGATATTATGTAGCCACTCTAATTTTCTTTGGTGTTTGCATGGTATGTGTGTTTTCATTTTGTTGCTTTCTTCTTTGTATATTGAGTGATTTTTTTAAAAAAAGTTGTATAATGGACCTTATAAATGATAATTAATAGAGGTATGGATTTTGTTTCTTTGTGTTTTAATTTTTATACTAACAAGGATTAACCCAGGGCTTTGTGCATGCTAGGCGAACATTCTATCCCTGAGCTACATTCCCCAGCCCTTTTTATTTTTTAAGACAGGGTCTTGCCCAGGCTGGCCTTGACCTTCAAATCCTCCTGCCTCTGCCTCCTGAATAGCTGGGATTGCATGCATCAGTGTTCCTGGCCCATTTTTTTCTTTTAGAGTTTTATTCTGGCTGATATTTAACTTGGGTGAATTCAGACTTCAACCTCTTCCTCACCACTCCCCTTGGGATGGGGCAATTGAAATTTCTATTCAGGTTTTCAGTTTCCAGCTACTTCCTTTTGACTCAGTCCCTGAGGTCTAGCTCATATGTGTAGTTTGTGTTAGCAATGTCAAAAGATTGGGGGCTCATCTCTTGTGTGCCTCTTTTCTTTCTGCCAATCTCCCACTTTGAGATATTCCCATAAATTTATGGCTGCTCTTCCCAGAACTCTCCCTTTAACTTCTCAAGCTAATCAATCAGTCCCTTTATGAGTTGCAGAGTGTATTCGGGCAAAAAGTTGCAAACTTTCAGACTTTACTTTCGGTTATTTTGTTCATTTTAATTTTTTGTGGTCTTAGGCAAACCTGGGGCCTTCCTTGAACACTAGGCAAGTGCCCTACCACTGAGCTATAATCTCAACCCACTTCTTTTTGTTTTTGTCTTTGATGCCAGGGGTCAAACTTGGGACCTTGCGCTTGCAAGGTAGGCAGCAGCACACTGAGCCTAATCCCTGGCCCCCCATGTTTGATTTTTAAAGGTAGTCTCTTCTTTGATTTCCCTCCGGTACTGTATTCTGTTTTTCTTTTTAATTTTTTGACATTTAATTAAGCTCTTTATAATTACATGTATGATAATTGGTCTGGTGTGGTACTTTGCCATTGAAGGAAGCCAGAAATCCTCAAAGTATGTCATTCTAATGCTTAAGAAAATGGATTTTTTAAATTGATAAACTTTATTTTTAGAATCATTTTAGATTTTCAGATAAAGTGCATGTTGAGAGCTCCTTTAGACCCTAAAGTTTCCCCTACTACTATAACTAATAACCCAGTTAATGACTATGAGCAAAGTCTGCCAAAGATTGTCTCCTAATGCTTTTTCTGTTCCAGGTTTCCATTCCAGGTACCTCATTGCATTTAGCATCGTGCCTTTTTGGCAGTGGCAGTTTGTCAGATTTTACTTGATTTTTGTGTGTGTGTGTGTGCTAAGGATCAGACCAAGGTTGCCTGAATGTGCTCTCTCTGGACTGCACCCCCAGCTCTCTCTTGATGACCCTTGACAGATTTAAGGACTACTGGTCAGTACATCATAGGGTATCCCTCTATCAGAATTTGCCTGAAGGTTTTTTTCATGGATAAATTGTTAGAAGTGGAAGATCACAGAGGCAAAGTGGAATTTTCATTGCTGGTATCAAGGGTGCACATTAGCACCATGGTTTATGACTATTCATGTAATTCTTGATCATGTGGCTGAAGGTAGTATTTGTTGGGTTTCTCTGTTCTTTAAATTTCTCTTGTCTTTACTGTACTCTTTGAAAGTCACCCTGACCAATCCACACTTCAGGGTTGGATTTTTGTTTCTTGCTTTTGCCTAGATTATAGATAAAAATGTTTTTCAGAAACCAAAATTCTATTGGTAGATCAGGTGCTTTAGCTTGTGTTTTGATTACTTAGGTTAATATATATAGTCAGTGTGCCCATCTCTGATGGAGTATAAGACTTTGTAGGAAGTTGTTTCTGTCTTTAAGAAGCTCACAGTCTATATGGGTTGTGAATATGCAGGAATATATGCCACAGGTAAGACATTTACAGCTGCAAAATTGAAGTATCCACCTGAGTGATTTAAACAACAGACAGTATTGTTGCTGCACACATTAGAGTGATATGGCACTAATTTAATAAAAAAGAAGCAGCCCTTTTCTCATATTTTATTTTGTCTGGGAATAATTAATTTAAAAGTCTTCTGAAAGGTAACACTTGGGCCTAAAATCACATACCTGCTCCTAGTTATGTTGGAAGCTTTAAGGCAAAGTCAAGCACTTTACTTTTTTAATATATAAGTATGTGTGTGCAGTACATAACATTTACATTCCCTGTGTGGAGTTGGTGCATGTACTGTCACATCTTAATTCCTTTTTTCATCCATTGTCTCCCCCTCCCTCTTCCTTCTCTTCATCTCTTGATCTCCTTCCCCTTTTAGAAAGATCTGTCTCCCTACTTCCTGTTATCTTTAATTTTGCTCTTTATTTATACATTCAGTTTCTCATATAAGAGAAACTGTGTGATATTTAAGCTTATGTGTCTGATTTATTTCACCTAACATTATGGTCTCAAGATGCATCCATTTTCCTACAAAATGACTCAAGTTTATCTTTATGGCAGAGTAGTACTGTATTCCTTTGTGTTTAAATACCATATTTGTTTTACCCATTTATCTGTTGATAGGCATAAAGGCTACTTCTGAGGTTTAGCTGTTACAAATTGTGCTGCTATTAATGTGTGTGTGTGTGTGTGTGTGTGTATGATATCTTTAACCCTTTGGAGAAGATGCATTTGACCAAATGAAAGTTTTGGTTTCAGTCTTTTGAGGAATCACCACACTGATTTCCATAGTGGTTGTTCTAGTTTACATTCCCACTAACAGTGTAGAAGCTCCTTTTCCCCTACAGCCTCTCCAGTGTTTGTTAAGATTTTGGTTTGGGAGGGCACCAGGGATCAAACTCAGGTCCTGTGAGAACCTGCGAGGCAGGTGGTGGAACCACTGAGCTAAATCCCTGGCTCATGATTTGATTTTTTGATGATGGTCATACTTTCTGGGATAAGATGGAACTCTAGTGTTGTTTTAATTTGCATTTCTATAATGGCTAGCAATATAGAGCATTTCTTTGTGTATTTATCAGTCATTTTTACTTCTGCCCCAGATAGACTAGAACAGCGGTGGCAAACCTTTTAGAGCGGCAAACAGCCAACTGGGGCACACTTACCATAAGTTCACTACCACTGGACTAGAATGAGGGGTATTTGGGCATAATTAAAATGCAGGATTCAAGAATCCCCTTCTCCTGGCTGCCATCTGACCTAAATTTTGGAGAATGTGTTATCTGGGTGAGACAGAACATTGCAGGTACACACACTCTGCAAAGGTGAAGAAACTTTCTTAACACAGGAGGGCACAGTGGAGCAGTTTTAAGGGAAGAAAGAAGGAAGATGAGCCTTGGGAGCAAGGTAGTAGAGGGGAATGATGGATTGGTCAGGGAGTGATGTTTCAAAAGACTTGTGGGCCACAAAAGCAGAACCAGGGGTGGGATGAAGTGGTGTTGAGAAGTTGCTTTGATACCAGAACTGGCTGAGCCTTTTGTGGTTAATATTCTCCTTGCCAGGTCTTGGTAGCTCCTTGTGCATAGCACCCTGGAAAGCTTGCTTGATCTGTATTGAGCAAAGTTTCCAGGAGACTTTCTGGAGCTGGAGGCAAGCTGTTCTAGATCAGAGCTTTCACAGTGACAGGCATTTAATTCCTTGAGCTTTACAATGAAAGTCCTGTAATTCATTAAAGTTGCACCCATCTGTGAGTGCACCAGGCCTTTGTGGCTACTACAAATACATTTAGAAAGAAAACTCACTGATGCCTTATGTCATTCTTAAACAGTGTTCTCCGCTTTCTCTCTCAGATACATAACCATTTTATAGAGTCCCTCAAAAGTGATTGAGAATTTTTTCCTCATAATTAATAAAATGTTTTTTTTAATTTTTCCTTCTGGAAAGGAGGAGGAGGCTGCCAAATGGGCCCGAGAAGAAGAAGAAGCAGCCCAGCGTCGATTAGAGGAGAACCGGCTGCGAATGGAAGAGGAGGCAGCCAGACTCCGGCATGAGGAAGAGGAGCGGAAGAGGAAAGAGTTGGAGCTGCAGAGGCAGAAGGAACTGATGCGCCAGAGGCAGCAGCAGCAGGAGGCCCTAAGGAGGCTGCAGCAGCAGCAGCAACAGCAGCAGCTGGCACAGATGAAGGTAAAGCAAGACACCTGCCAGAGGAACTACTTGCTAACACATCTTAGGCAGATGCTGGTGGTATCTGTAAATCTATACTTTGTTTATCATTAAGTATTACAACTAAATACTCTGATCATCAACAAAATAAAATAGGGTACATATACTTTGTGTTAGGCATTTGAACAAGAAAGAAAAAGAAACTATTACAGTGAAAGACACATTGCTGAGAATATTGGAATACGTGTATTGAAAGCAAGGCCACAGTATTTTGAGGGGATCTGCAGTAGTCTTTTACTGTGATTTCAAAAAATTTAAAAATTTGCCTTTTTTTTTTTTTTTTTTTTTG